TGCCTTCCACAGGATGGGTATTTGAGACATTATCTACCTCTTGACCACTTCCTGTCTACTTTTGCTGGCATTTTTCCAGAATGTTCCTGGCATCCCCAAATTCTTCCTTATTGATATTTTTTCTTATTTCTGATTATTTTTTCATATTTCCAAGTGCTCTGTTAGAACTTTTGCGTTGCTCTCTTGTTCCTTGCTTACATGAATTTGTCATTCTGTTTTGGTTTCATTTCATCTGTCTCATGACATTGCTTTTAACATATCCATCGGGTAATAGATTCAGTGTGCTTTGCTTGGCACATAGACACTTTTTTCATTTAAGACAGCTGTAGATTAAATGGAGAAGCCTTCCTCCAATGGCTGTACTCACTGTTGTGTAATATAACATTTTACTCTTTTCTTCCCTGATTTTGGCCCCTTCTCCCATAAATGGTATTGGTGACTTTAAAAACAAAGAATGGCAGGAAAGAAAACAGAGACAATTCAAACATATTCATACTCAAAATGTATAACATATATATGGGAACTTTAATCATGGCATGGTAACCAGCTATAACTTTCTTGTTATGTATATATGTAAACTTTGAACATGTAACCAGATATATCTTTCTTGTTTCCATTCTAAAGATCAGCTAAGGTTGTTATGCCATACTATTAAAAGAAATTTTAGGATATCTAAAATTTGGATTTCTTCAAAAGTAATATCTATGTTTGCAGCATTTTTATAAATCAACCAACTTATGGAATCTTCCCAATAAGAATATATTTTAAGATGCAGTAATTCCTTATTAGGATTCCATCGGTGAGAGAAATGGGCAATTCCAAAATGTGATAAACAAACCCCTAAAACAGGGGTGTCAAACTTGTGGCCCACAGGCCGGATGCGTCATGTGCTGGCCCCGCCCCTGCCCGGTTTAGCAAAGGGGGAAAAAGTCCCAATATGTCATGTGACAACTCCGTGGTAATGCAAGTTTGCCTGTATATGGGTTTTGGAATAAAAAGCTTGGCTTCCCATATATGGGATCTATGTCCTTCCTGATTAGTTCAGACTTACTTGGAGATGAAGTATAGTTGGGCCAGGACATGGTGAATTCATCCTTGACAGACAAGGTAGTTCTAAGGTTGGAGATAGTGGTTTACCTTCTCATCAAAAAGTCATCACTGTCCCTCATCATCTTTCTCTTTCTAGAGAAGGCTGTTGAGAAAGTAATGATGCTACACCTTCAGAGAATTCTGGAGGTTGATTATCTGGCCCCTTAAATTTGCGTCTGGGACCTGGGTATGAGATGGGAATGGCACTGATTGGATTTGAGGATGAGCCCTGGCAACAGAAAAAAAAAGGATGGTTGATCTCTTAGCATTTTTAATGACATCCTTATAGATCAGCTTGAAGGTAGGGAAAGTTCCTCTGGAACCAGTTATAGTATTAAGGGGGAAGATATCTACATTTGCAAGATAGCTCAGGATTAGGGGTGGGATACAGCTGGTTCAGGCCAGCTTGGGCGAACTGGATGTTAAATTTACATCTGATTTGCTGAACTGGTAGTAGAACCGACTGGGTGGTCCCACCCACCCTGCCCCTCCCCTCCCAGGAGTCTCCACACAGCCCGTTTTGGATGCAGGTAAAGGCAGGGCCCACGCCGAGGCTCTGGGAGGGTGAAAAATGGGCCTCCTGGAAGTCCAGAAATGAACCTATTTCTGGCTTCTGATGGACCTCCAGAACCCGGGGGAGGATGTTTTCGCCCTCCCAGAGGCCCGAGGGAAGCCTCCGGACTCTGGGGAAGATGAAAACGGCTCTCCCTGAAGTTCCGGTAGGCTATACCCACTATGGCCATGCCCACCCAGCAACAGGGCAGAGAACCAGTTGCTGGAATTTTTGAATCCCACCCCTGCTAAGGACTCAACACTAGTTCTCACAATAACTTATCTTGTGTCATCCAATGGTACAAGATGAGGCATTAGTGTGATAATTGTATCCATGTTTATATTTACACCCCTGGCCAACCAGGTGATACTGTGGAAATTGTTTTTGGCATCAGTAGATTGTGGCAGTCTGACCGAAGAACAGCTTCCCTAGCTAAACAGAGGGGTTTGAGGTTTAAGGCCCCTCTAGATCCAAGGATTTTCCTTCTTATTTTAGATAGGGTTGCACCATTCCATACTTAAAACACTGTTCAATTTGGGTGTCATCCTGGAATTGTAGTGGTAGCCATGACCAGAAAGGTTTTTGTCCAACTTCGTGCACTTTTTCCTAGACTGGAACCTCTGCTCAAGCTGACTCATGATTTGGTCACCTCCTGAGTGGGTTACTGCAATGCACATTTAGCTGCCTTGAGGAGCTTCTGGAAGGTGAGCTGAAGGCCAGCTTTGGAAGGTCTTGCTTTTAAATAGGCCAGATGCAGGTTGGCTCAGTTATGCGTGTTTACATGTCTTTGTTTCTTGAGGAAAGTGCTTCTGTCTGATTTTCTGAAACTCCCAATGTATCCTAAAACAGAATAATCTGCTAGGATTGGATTCCTAATAATCTAACTGAGGGGTGTCAAACTCACGTTGTCACGGCATGATCACATGACATATTGTGACTATTCCACCTTTGCTAAACCAGGCATGGACATGGCCAGTGCGTAAGGCTTCTGGCCCACAGGCCCCGAGTTTGACAGCCCTGACCCTCCCATGTCTGCATGCATTGGTTGCTTCTTAAATAAATCTCAGATAGCTGATTGCTGAGGCTCACCACACTGCACCAGTCCCACTCTTTAATTCTAACAAATTAGAAGTTATAATATGAGGCCAGTCCCATCCTAATGAATTTAATCATCTGAATGAGAAAAGTTAAGCAAGCAGATGTCGCTCCTCTCCACATGCTTTGTCCACCTTCTCAAGAAAACAAGATGAAAATAGCCTGCATTTATTTATTTCTCCTTTCAGAAAAAATAAAAGCTTGGTTTTTTTCCCCAGAAGGCTATAAAGACCTTTGTATTTGTATTATTTTATCACTTTATTACTAGATTTTTAAAATATTCTATTGTTATCAGTTTTAATATCTCTAAATTATCTAGAATTCAAGAGGATGGAAGCACCAAATTGTATATGACACGAGAAATAAATTCTATTCAGAGTGGAAAAATGTTGCTGGCAATGGTGCAAAGAGAGAAATCATTGTCTCGTCATTGCATCCATTGGCATGAGACTTCAGAGAAGTCTTAGAAAAGATCTCATTCTGATTTGACCCATCCTGAAAGTTCCTAATTTTTGTTCAGCCCTTTATTTTCTGCTTCATTGTTCTCTGCTTCCCATTAAAACAATTTTGTTCTGCTAAAAAGAAGGGGATGCTTAGGAGTAATAGCTTAAACTGACCCAGATATCTCATATTCCAGAGATTGGCCAGGGCTTGAGCAGGACTGCTAAGAAAAGATTCCTCAAAAGCATTCTGGAAACTATCTCTGAGCAAAACATCCATTTTTGGGGGAATAATACTGTCCTCCTATAATGTTTTCTTGAAGTTGGACTAAAGGCAGTGGCCAAATATTTTCATATCCTTCTTTTTCAAGGAATTATTCTGTTTCCAAGATCATTTTGCCAACAACAGAGTTCTGGACATGGATATTTCTGAAACATTGCAACAACAAAAAAATCCTCCCTTGTTTCTGTGTCTGCAGCTGCCAGCTTCACTAATCAAAGCTGACCCAATGCTCTCATTGACATCAGTGGCAAGGGACCATATCTTGAACCTGTCAGGTTACTGAAGAATTGTTACGAAAATCCCCCTTGTGCGTGTCAGAGAGAGACACACAGATGCTGACAAACTACCACACGCCAATTGTGTAGCCTAAACATATTTCTTTCGAACTCAGGAAGTGAAGGGCAACACAAAAGTTTTACTGGCAATCAATCCGATCCATCTTTTTTGTTTTTATGGCAGTTGCTCTCTAAAAGAATTGAGAGAGGAAGCGGTGGCAGCGGGAGAAAGCCTCCTTTTAACTCCTTTTTGTTGGGTACAAAAAGAGGATGCCAAGGTACCACGGCGCGGTACTGCTGTGACGGAGGAACTGACTGATTGGCGCCCACCTCCTTTTCCTCCATCAGTCTTCTCCAGCGCCCCCTTCCAATTTCCCGGCCTCAGCTCCTTCTCTCGCATCCCGGTTTCCAAAACTTTCCCCCCACTCCTTCAGCCGATTACCAGCGCCGCGCGGGCTTTCCTTTTCCATCCTCCGCCCCCACTCGACTCTCGGCGCCCCCTTGGCGCAGCCTTCTTCCCGCCTCCAGTGGGCTCCTTTCCCACGTGTTTGGCGCGCCGCCGCTGCTCCCCACTGACAGGCAGGCAATCGCCTCCCCCTTGCCCTTTCTTTCCTCCCTCGCCGAGCCGCGCTTTCCTCCTCCCCTCATTCTTCTTTCCGTACACCGGATCGCCGCCTTTCCTCGCTCCTCGGGCGGCAGCGGCGTAGCAAGAAGTTCCTGCTTTTTTTTGTTTGTTTGTTTTTTTGTCCCTGGGTTCGTCCGGGTGAAATTGGCTCGTGTCCGCTGTGGTTATTAGTAACTTTAATGTTTTATTTTTGAAGTGGACAATTCTCTTTAATTTTTTTCTTTGCAAAGAGTAGTTTTGCTCACTGAGGATTCTTTTCAGTTAAAAAGACTGGTTCAGAAAACGTTTCCCGCCCTCCTCCCTTTTCCTCCCCCCCCGTCCCCTCGAAAGAAACTGGAAGCCTCACTTGTTGCTCTGACCAACTTTTTTGGGGGGTGGGTGGGTGGTGAAATTTGCGCGCTTTCCAGTGGCTCGGGGGGAAGGGGGTGTGTGAGGAAGATGCATCGTGGAAGGCGAGCAGCAGTCCCCTTGACCGCCGCGACCCGCAAGGCGTCTCGCTGAGGGGGCGGAGGGCCAGCAGCAGGAGCGACGCTCGCCTTGCCGAGAGGAGGGCAGCGGGCGAGCGAGGAGCAGCAGCGGGCGCTCCCCTAGGAACAAGTCGGACTCGGTGCCGACACCTCAGGAATTCCTGCCGTCCGCGATGGGGAGACGGCGGGCGCTTTGCCTGCAGCCGTATTTCCTTTGGCTGGGGTGTGTGGCGCTCTGGGCGCATGGATCCGCTGGGCAGCAGCGGCAGGGTCGTCCGGCGGAGGGTGCGGATACTAGCCGCTACTCTATCTTGGGGAGTCTGGAAGGAGGCACAGCGCCAGCCGCCGCCAACCGCGTCCGCAGGAGAGGCCAGCAGGACATGCTCAGGGGGTAGGAAAGCAACTTTTGCTCGCACCCACGTCCGCCACAGGTAGGCCTGTTTCCTGCAGACAGCAGTGGAAGGTAGCATAAACCTGCGCTTGGATGGGATCACTACAGACGGCAGGTAGGGGGTGGCATGCTGAAATGTGCCTTCCCAGGGATTAAATCGATTCAATCCCTGATCAAAGAAAAGGAGGGGACTAGGACTGTAGTCTACCTACCCTTCTTGGCTCTGCTGCTATGTGCAGGAATTTCTTGGCTCTGTTCTCCCCCTTCCACTTAATGTGACCCTCCATCTCTGAAAGGGTTGTCTGAAGTGGTACAATTCAGCCACAGGTTTTCTTCCTCAGCTGCTGTTTGGGGAAAAATAGGCCACGTGTATATAATTATACAACAGTAATTATGTAGTTGATCACATCTTTCAAGTTTAGATATGAACTATACAGGCCTTAATATCTGAAGGTAACTCACTGATGAAATGATGTTGTTTTTCTGCTTCTGTAACTAGCCATCTTCCACCTTTAAGCATTATTCCCCAATACCAATAGTACAGGAATTAATTTTGTTCCTCCTTAAACTCATTGTGACATAGGTTGTAATATAGACAGACACTTTGTCCATAATCATTATGGCCTTCATCTATTTCCACTTTTCTAAAACTTTTCTTTAATTTTCCATAGCTTTAGGCAGGTAATTCACCTGCTTGAAATACAATGACCATCTTCATTCTTTAGCCATGTAAGCCTGTTGGCCATTGACCAAGTCTGTGTTTCAGGTATATCCTCATTGGCTAAAATACCATTTCAAGATTGTAGTCTTTAAAGGCACAGCATACTATTTTATTCTGTGTCCTTAAAGACTAAAGTAGTCTGGAAATCTACTAGTAGTTACAGACTTACAATCCATAAGCCTGTCTTGATGTCACATTTCTGCCAAATTATGTTTTTACTTATAAACCCATTGTCTTTCTTTGATTTCATTATTAACCTTCTCAAGATCATGGCTAGGCCTACATGATACAGGTCTATGTACCTAAACTACCTCAGCAACCTGTGTCCAAGCCCGTAGGTGGCATCAATTCTAGGGCAAAACCACATTGTTTAAAACACACTTCCACCTTGCTTCTCTAACAAATCTGTATGTCCAAAATTGGATTGTACTTTGATTTTAAATAGTTAATGGTTTGAAGTATTGCCATAACATTGGCAATACTTCACTCAGTATTTGTGTGATTTCATGACAGAATCTTACAGTATTAAAAATATTTTTCTCTTTCTTATTTCACTGTTCCATAGAATTGCATACGATAAGCACAATTCCTTATTTTAAAAGTACTTAAGTAGAATGCTTGCTCACAGTTTAAATTGGAAGTTCCACATATAATTTCCTTTGTTTGTGTTCATTTTAATTGTGTTACAACAACCACTTCTTTAACTTGTTTTCTCAGTAAAATGCATCATATCTTAACATGTTCCCGTTAAAACTTTTAGTCTAAATACTTGGAAGGTATCTCAGTTTTCCTTTTGGACACTGCAACATGTCCTTTCCCATATTTATAATTGTTATTCCTTTTTAATTTTAATTTTGGTCCTTCTTGGAAAGTTTTCATGTGTCTTAAGGGTCTAAAACAAAAAACAACTGAGGGATCCTTGATTCTTTCTGAGCTTAGTTGTTTTCTTGCAGATGTTTCATTACCCAAAATAGGTAACATCATCAGTTACTTTTCTAAGAGCCAGTTGGTAATATTATACCAACAAGAGTACCAAATGTAGCAGACATTATCAAGTTTTAAAGGGTTTTGGTATAGTAAAGTTGAAGAATCATTTCAGTTAAAACCTGATAAAGATACATGCTTTTTCAAATTTAAGGAGAGAAACTGAAAAGTGCCAATATGTAAAATATGTGACAAATCCTTTCCATTTAAAGTCTTTGTAATGGCTTACTTGCATACCAGTTTGATAGACACTGTGATTCTTCCTCTTAAGATAGAAATGTTGTGTCAGACATCTTTGATGTTTCACTCTTAATAAAAATAAAGTAAGCATGAATTTGATCATTGTTCACTATTCACAGAATGGTTTAAAATGGAAAACTTATTGTTCATCTCCCCCTTTTTTGCTAAGAAGCAGGTTATTAATTTTTAAAAGGATTTCTAGGAATCTTTTTTTAGAAATATAAAACCTATCTGAATTTGTCTGTCATTGCTATAGCCAATAATTTTTTTATTCTGTGGAGCAAATATTTGAATGGCTGTTCCAAATGACCTGTGTTTTTGTGTATGTATTTGTTTGCATGCAACAGACCAAATGTGTGTGGCTCCAGATTCCATTCCTACTGTTGCCCTGGATGGAAAACACTCCCTGGGGGGAATCAGTGTATTGTTCGTAAGTCTTCTGGAATATTCATTTTTAGTAGATACTTACATTTAAACAAAAATATGAATTTACACTACAGTAGATGAATTGCTAAATTTAGGCTTCAACTTTGAATTTAAGAAATAGCAATTGCTTGACCATTTTTAAAACAAAAGAACTGACAATATATACTAAAGTTCAAAAATAATTTGATAAAAATTCATTTTTTAAATTCATAAATAATATAGTACATAAATGATATGAATTGTTTAGGATATTTATATTTTTGTTGTACTTAAGTTATAATAGATTTAGATTAGATGTGATAAGTGTATTTTAATAGATTAACAGTCTTGTTTGGCCAATGTTATTTTTGTCCTGCGAAATGTGACTTTTGTCTTGGCAAAATGGAATTTAGTTGTACTATGCCTGGGATTCACCAAGCTAGACCTCTATAATCTGTGGCTGAGATCAGCTTTCAGTTCTAGAACATTTGAAAAATGGTAAGTATTAGACAAAAACTGGACAGAATATTTTTGATCTCTTCTGTTTTTTCTATTTATCTACTATCTATAGATGATATATAAATTATATCTATTTTGTGGTAAATTGAATATTAACAGCAGTTAAATCCTATGTATGTTTATTTATAGTAATTCTTATTAAATACAATAGAACTTCTGCCTGAGGGGTAAACAATGGAGTATATTAAATTATGAGAATATTGTTGCTCTCCTTTTAAAAAAAAATTAAACACAATGGATTGACTTAGATCAAGGCCACTGCATGGGTGGGGAAAGTTTTTCCCACAGACTTGACCTTTACTCTTCTCAATTATATGATGATTAAAATCAAAGATTCCCTTGGTTCCAGTAAAACTTTTCACCTCCATGTGTAGATAGGTACACAAAGGTGAATTTTCAGAAATGTAGAATTTGAGGGGATTAGTCTTCTTTATATGGTGCTAGTTTCTGATTGAGAAATAAAAATCCCAAAGGCTATTGGTGTGCTACCCAATTAACATATTATATAATTAACCTGCTTTTATGGTTCATTGTTGTTGTGGTTATCAGAGAGGCCTACCAGTTATTTCTCACAATATAATAACAATTCATGAAGCAAATACTAAGCTCATATACTAGCACAATCCTAATATTACCCTAAATCAAATAGCTGACAATCACACATGATGCATAAGTCTCAAAGAATCTTACAATGTCAATCAATAAAAGAGATCCATCACCACGAAAGAAAAAACATACAGTCCAGTGCAATGCCACATAACAGCCTCTAATCTACTAAAAGTACTCTCCATCTTAAGTTATGTTCATCAGTTTGCATCCTACCAACCCATTTTAGCTTTTCTCTCCCCTTCAGGGTATGCTTTAAAGAAAATGTTCCAAAGGAGCTTTTCCAAGAGGCAACTGGACTTCCTTTGTTTTTTCCTTGAAGACATTTCAATTCTCATCCAAGAACCTCCTTAGATGATAATTGAAACGTCTTCAAGGAAAAAACAAAGAAAGTCCAGTTGCCTCTTTAAAAAGCACCTTTGGGACAACCATGACCTGGATGACTGAGAACGTCCATAGATGTTCAGAAGTGTTGAACACCAATTATCCAGAGCTGTTTTCTAACAATACTTATGTTACCCAGAGTTGAGATAAAGGATGCATTGGAGCCCCCTGGTTAAAAATAGAAAAATAGAAAAATGAGGGAGATTGAACCTGATGGTTATCCTGTGAACATTATATTCCAGGTACAGAAACAGATTCAAATCATTCATTCATTTTTGCTCAGAATCCCTCTGACACTGCCCAGAGTCCCTCTGTGAGGGAGATGGGCACTTTTAATGTGATAGATAAATAAATACAATATATAGAGTTCACCTTTTTTTCCAGAAGCTCATTGCATTTAGTCCTCTATTTTTATCTTTGAAAGATCAATCTTGTGAGATTAGTTGGACAGAGGGATAAAACATGGCCTCAAATAAATCAAGGAGGGTGGATTATAACTTTGATCTTCCCAGCCAGTCATTTCTTTCACCAAGATGCAATAATGATTCTCAGTGTATATATTTCCAACAACTCTTGAGAAACTCTGGGATTATACCTTTTGTAGGCATAATCATGCTAATTTATTATATCTCACATTTTGATATTCCATGCAGTTAGGCAACTATTACAGAAAGAAATTGATATCATTCTGGCCTACCTCTTATGTTTCACTGTTTTTGTTTAACATAGTACTCTTCTGATCTTAATATTAAATATGAATCAGTTTTTTAAGATTATAGGTTACGCTTACAGAAGATTGTTCATTTAACAAAGGTTCAAAGATGGACTAGAAAAATGACTTTTAAAAAAGTTTTCTGTTGTATCTCTCTTGCAATTACGTTATCACGATTAGAGCACTTGGCAGCCAACTCACATTTATGACTGTTGCAGCATCTTGTGGTAATGTGTTCTCGATTTGTGACTTTCTCTGTCAGCTTATGACAATCAAAGTCAATTGGCGAAGCCAGACCATATGAATCACTTCACAAGTATGTTATTCATTTAGCAACTGTGGTAAAAGTAGTCATAAAGTTGAGCCTGATCACATGATACTTGTTTAATGACTACACCATTTAGTGACTAAAATTTTGGTTCTAATTGTGCTCATAAATAAATACTTGTAATGATATTAAATAATATTCCAAATATTAGAGATGATAAATTGAGATTTATCTCAAGATTTCAAAGCAGTTATATAACCGCACATATCAAAATACCATTTGATAACAGTTTGCAAACAACAAGGAAGCACAGCATATTTTGTGATCCATGATGAACAATTCATCTATAGATAATGGAATATAGATAAAATAGTGTTTATAAAGGTCATCAGTTAATTATATACATATTGGATATGTTTACACAATATATTTCTTGTTATGTTTTCCTTATGTTTTTAATATTAAATTATAATTTCTCAATTGAAGCTAATGTATTTTTTTACACAAGGGATTGCAATATGTATTCTAATTTTTTTTTCTTTTTGGAAGCTCTGCCTCATCAGAAATTGGGTGTATGTTTTTTAGCATAGAACCATCACAACAACAAAAGTTAATTTTATGATTTTTTTTCCTATGTGCATTCAAATCAGTAGTTTGGCAACTATCTGGATTAAACTTTTTTTAAATGTGGTTTGCCATTGCCTTCTTCCTAAGGCTGAGAGAGAGTGACTGGCCTAAGGTCACCCAACTGACTTTGCCTATAAGCAGGAACTAGAACTCATGGTCTGCTGGTTTCTAACCTGGCATTTTAACTACTACATCAGCCTGGCTCTCAAGATAGATTTGAAGCACAGCCTTTCCACAAATGTCCATAATTTCTTTCCACCAAAATACCAGGCTTGTCAACTTGTTTGATGTCATTACTCTGCTTAATGTGACTCTCATTGTCTAGCATTTAATTAAAATATTTCTGGCATGGGGTATCTTGAAATAAACCTCTTTGAACTAATAAACTTCTTTTGAAAAAGTAAAGAAATCAACTGTGAAAGAAAGGATGTATCTATAGTATTCACTGATGTATCACCTTAGCTCTGGTAATTCATAGTTTGCAAAGGTACAGTTAAAGCAGAATTAAAATCTCATTTTAGTATTTTTGTAACTGTAACCTGTTAACCAAGAAAAAGATATTGTTCTCTGAAATGAAACTAGAAATGCATTTGCAATTAGTGCATTGAAACAATGTCTAAACCTAGCATATCTCCAAAATACATGCTTTGGTTAGGAAAATAACATTACTGAAGATTGTTTTTTTTTAAGGATATCATCAGCTGGAAAGCAGTAGTTTAGTCCTGCAAGGCTAATACAGATGTGATGCTAAACTATCTATCAATAAATCTGCAAGAATCTATCAATAAATCTATCCAATTAGCAATCATGAGCTTGTGTGGAGAAATAGAATTAGAATTCAGATAAATGGGAACTAATTGCAGTTGACTTCCCCTTTCATATCCCACTTCTGATAGAAATCTTTTTATCCTGAAGGTGGAAAACTTCCATTGCCTAGCATTGATTACAGTAGCAGCTTAGGGTAGGCTTATTTGTAGACATTCTTGTCCTACTGATCCCCATATTTCTCACTCCCAAATTACTTTGACAGTAAAAACTTGATACCTATTTTTATCTATATAGATGATCTGGATGATTTTGATTTCTATAGTGACTTTGTATTAGCCATATATAATTTGCATGGAGTAGAATTTTGTGTGCTTTGTCCCACATTGAACATTGTAAAGATATTGAATGAAGATTATTGTTTTCATTCTGTTTGTTGGAGCAATAAAAATAATAAAAATTCCTAATATAAATATATAGGAAAATGCCTATATTCTATAGTTTTGAAACTTTTAAACATATGTTTTACTATTTGTTTAATAATGTATGATTGCAAGTCTTGTAATATATTACTTTTTCCACAGCAATTTGTAGAAATAGTTGTGGTGATGGATTTTGTTCTCGTCCTAATATGTGTACTTGCTCCAATGGACAAATATTGCCAAGCTGTGGACCAAAATCTAGTAAGGCTTAAATAGCATCCTTTTCATTTTATTATACGTAATAAAGGTATTTGCTGTTTAAGGTTAGAAGGATTTCATCTGTTCTCTTTAAAAATAGATAGTCAATCCAGTTACCGTCTTTTGAAACTTCTGGTATGTGTCCACAGTTTTCCTACCCTTCAGTTGTATCTCTTCTGTTGGCAACCCTATTGGAAGAAGGGCTAAACTTGCACATTGGTTACCCATACCTAAAAGCACAAAAAGCGTAACACATTATTTGGATTTGTTCACAGATCATGCTGAGTCAGGATACACTGTTAATTTATTGAACATTTTAAATAGCTATGTTTGTGCTACACAGTAATCACTAAACCATGATTGAGAAACAACTGTGGATTCACTAAGTCAGAAGTGAACAGTCTGTTTTACAGTATGTAAATATGGATGAACATGGTCTGATTCTAATTCTAATTTCACTGATTACCTAGTTTCTTCCTAAGAACCATGGCAAGCAAGATGTTGACTTTTTCCTATGTTTAACTATCTAAATAGTAGGGCTGTGCAAAGTTTCAAACACATATTTTGTTTTGATAGCTTGTATGAAGCACCCCTTTGAAGTTATCTCATGGACTATATCCCCTTCTCCCTTCTTAAAGCAAAGTGAAGTAAAGCATCCACATAGTTTTCCTTCCTGTTGTTTTGACCCCATTCATTTTTGCTTGTGATCATTTAAAATATCCCATTGTTTTACTGCATTTTTATAGTGGTTTATAATTTTTATGAGCCACATTGTTTTTTTGATTGAAAAAGAAGATATCAACTGTGTTATGTGGTAAACAACTAAAATACGTAACTTGCATGCTTAAAATAGCAATAATATGTTGGGTGTATGTTGGAGTGAAGTTAATAAAACAAAGTGGAAATTAATTGAAATCAGAATGATAAGTTTTAAAATAAAATGAATGTAATAAAATAAAAAAGCTTCAAAGCATTAATACCAATTAGAGATGATTATAGATCAAGATAAAGTAGTAAAAGGAATTCGTGGAGGAAACCACATTCTAAATACAGAAGAAAGATTATAGTTAGATTAAGTTTATTAATGCAGAATTCAGATACTCTAGTATTATTTTGGCAAAGAAATGAAATATTAAAATGGCATTTGAGAAGCAAAGAAATAGATGAAGCATGTGTTAAGGACAAATGTATGTGTACCAAGGAAGAGACATTAATGGAAAACTGCACAAAAAATCTGAATAAATAGTCCTCAAAATTATATGTATAGTAGCATTTTATAAAGAAGCATTTATTTATTTACATCCTGCCTCTATTGTTTTTATAAATAACTCAAGGCAGAGAACATAGATAATACTCCTTCTTCCTCCTATTTCTCCCACAACATCAACCCTATGAGGTGACTGGCCCAAAGTCAGTAGGTTTTCATGGCTAAAACAAGACTGAAACTGTGTCCTGATTTCTAGCCTGGTGCTTTAATGACAATGAGCCACTTATACTAGAACCTTAAATCAGTTTAAATTGAAATATTAGGTCACAAAATGCTAACATATGTTATATATTTTACATTATGTATTTTAATGATTTATTATGTCTACATTTTTGCATTATTTCTCAATATTTGTGTCTTTTTTTGCTACCTAATATAAAATGACAATTTAATGCATAACTAATTGTCTGCATTTTTCTGTAGTACAACAGTGTAACATCAGATGTCTGAATGGTGGTACCTGTCTAGATGACCAATGCCAGTGTCAAAAAGGATATATTGGCAGTTACTGTGGGCAACGTAAGTAGACATTTGGCAGTTGTGATTTATTTGAACGATTCCTGTCATGAATGTAGCATAAAGTATAGGTGTTACATAGTCTTCTGATATTTTTGAATGGTTGCTATTGCATCTGGATATGGGAATTGTGAATTCAGTGCATTTTTCACCTATTAGGTTCAATGGATAGTCATGAACAAAACATATATTATGTAGATAGGGTAGTTACAGGGAAGACATATTTCTCTCAGAGAGATGTAATTATTATAAAAATACAGAGATGTTTTTATAAGAAGCAGTAATAGTATTAGTTTGTTTAAGCACCATTAGAATTGTGAAGTAAAGTACTGGCAGTAAGCAGGAACATTTTGAATGAAGTTTTACATTTCAAGGAGTCCTTAATTAAGCAAACTTTTTAGTTTATATGGAAAAACAATGACATTGTTAAATATTTTGTGTTTTATGTATATATTTCATCTGAATTTCTGCTATTCATTTCAAATACTACAGCCATACTTATAGTCAAGTTCATATTCTGGTATTTTTCAGAAAAGTGATCTAAGAAATAAGCCCTGATGGTTTTGTTTTGTTAGTATGGCACTGTAAAGTCTACATAACAGGCTTTTCCTTTGGGGAAAATTTGGCATGTGACTTGCATTAAAATGCCCCAAATGTTAAACTTATGGCACTTGTAGTGTACATGTAATCTTCATTTAATGTCTACCTACCTGTATAGTGAAATGGGAATGACTACAATATCTACATGCACTGCTGATGAGTCTAATGCTTGAAGAATGGAAGTCTGAAAACTTTACATTTCATAAATTACAGCCTGCTGCAAATGAGAAACTGACTTAAGGAAGCACAAGGAAATTGGAGTGTTTCTTCATTTACTGAATTTATAGCTCAGTCTCTGAAACAGCTAGTAATTGATAACTAATGAAATAACAAAAGGCATTTTTTTCTCAGAAAGGATATAAAATTTAAAAGTTTCCAAAAACTTGTATAGGAGCTGTTAGCAATTAATCTGTTAGCAATTAATTTCGTAGAATGTACAATATTTTTTAAAGTATTTGCTTAGTTGATTGTGTAGAGCAAAGCAACTTAAGGTATCTATTCTAGAACATTTAGAATCTTCTTTCCCATAACATTGTTGGTAAGCAGGACCTATAAGATATATTCTAAGATAATGCCAAGCCATGGTTGGATATTACTTCAATAAATAGAACATGACTTCAAAGTCCTATACTCCCTCTTTATATTATAAATTCAATGTTTACTTTTAGGTTCTTGATCAGTCATTAAATGCCCTTAGACCAGATTCCCAACCCACATTTTAAGAGCAAGTTAAAGTTATGAAGCAATAATTTGCAGGTTCTGATAATAGTGGCAAATAATCTCTGTACAAACATTGAAAAGCATTGTAGAAATGATGGAGCATAAGAGGAAGACTAGGGGATGGAGCTGGGTTTTTTTTAAAATCAAAGGGTTGATTTTGTTTCTGAAAAAAATACCAATTAATGGCTCATTGTTATTTATTCCTTATTTATAAGAGTAGAAATATAAGATGTAAGCAAAATACAATTATCTATTGCTTGTCTCAGAAGATCCTGTATCATGTATTTATATCTGTTCTTTTTTCAGACTTCTTTCTTTTCCTAGGCATAATATTTGTATTCCCACTTCTTTTATTTTAGCTGTTTCATGCTTTGTTTCTCGGTTCCTTGGTTCTGATTAAACCGTGCATCATTTCATTACATTCAGTTTCCTACTATTATATCTATTTTTGATCTTTTGAGTTGGAGCACCATTTTTTAAATGAAAAATGTACCAAAATTGCACAAATATGGTCTTAACAAGTTTGTGAATTATCATTAATTTAATTTACCAAATTGATTGTGACCTTCTACACCATTAGGCATGACAGTTTACAGAATTCTAAAAAACACAATATTAAAAACATGCATAAAAACACAGCCTAAATCAACCAGAATAATAAACCATACAATGCAACAAAGGCCTCATATATGCATTAAGGAACACATTAACCTAGGCCTGGGAGCAGAGCCAGCTCTTAGGGGCTTTGTGGAATCCAAGGAGATTGTTTAAGGGAAGAGAATTCAGTGAAGAATCAACATTGTTTATCTGTAAAATTTTCCCGGAGAAGGGCATGGGTGATTAAAATGAGATCAGGATAAAATTACACTAACTTTTTGTGGCAAGTCCCATTTGGAGTCATCAAATTTTAGTTCACAAGTATTTGGAGAGATAATCTTTAGATTATGTCAATATATTCATTTGTTACATAAATTGTGCTGTAATAGTTCACTGTTCTACTACATATAAAATTAATTGTATAGTAATTAGTAATTGCTGAAGAGCAATAATTCATTTAATGAAATCTAATAAAGTAAGGAAAATTTTGGGTACATTTGTGTTTTTACTTGAAATATAATAGTTCTGCTACATTGTTTCTGGACTCTTTTTTCCATGCTTAAATGTTTTTTTTTTCTTCTCTTTCTCCTCATCTGTTTTTTGGGAACAAGAGAATGAATGCTTTCAGTAGCTGATCATATGCTGTTTGAGACTTTATTTGGGAAAATTGCCTAAAATACTCAAATAACCTTTAGCTTTTTCTTAAGGAAATTATAAACTTGTTCTAAATGTATCTGTTTTGTAACAGTGAAATACAACTATTATGTATGCATCATTTTTTCATACTTTGTAGACTTTGTAGACTTGTAGAGCAATTGTGCATACTGCAATGAAGGATTAATTTTGAATTTAGAGGCAAGTATTGCCTTTTTTCAAAATCTCTTAGAATGCAACATATGTCTACTATAGAAGTAATACAAATTTGTCAAGTTCTGTTATTCAAGTTTAAATGAGCTAACATATACACACTTGGAAAAAAAGCTGATGCCTGTTCAATTCACACAATTACCCAGACCACAGTATGTCTGTGAACGAAAATGTGTTGACCATTTTAACACTGGTTTCTGCATATACTTAGAACTGTTTATAAGTCTATGTTTTTAGACTTCTGTATATTCATTAGTTTTACTCACCCCCGCTTTGGAAGATTTTATTACTAATGACTTACATTATGCCAGTAAGAGAAGAAATGTATTTATTATATTTTTATCCATTCATGACAAGAGTTTTTCAGGCTGATTAGTGTGTTATAGAAGAGTAAATATAAAAATACTAACACAATAATAATACAGTAAGCAATAAAATATATTTTATTAGTAGATAACCAGTTAAACAAAAGAAGCATTATAATAATGCAATCACCCTGATACAAAAACATACAAAATAAAATATGCCATCCAAGTATAATAGGGACAGTATAATTTTTCATTCTCTTTTTACAAGCACTTTTTTTTATAGATGAGATACATAATCTCAAAGTTTTGTAGCCTCAAAGCATATGATAGAAAAGCCTTTAAGCTATTGCCATTATTTTTTCAACTCTGTAGATGAATTATGTTGCTTTTTTCACATTTTGATCTTTTCAACACAATATTTTCCTTAGTTTCCTCACTTTGAGTATTACTTGTCTCTTCTAACTATCTGGATGTATGCTTTTTTCCCTTCTTTTCCCAGACTCTGTGGCACTGCAAACAAATGTCATGTCCCCTGAGATGTCTAGATCTGCAAGAGTAGGGAATGGGTTCTGCTGAATATAAATGCTTGTTTTCTTAGAGGCCAGGTCAGAAATCTTAGGGAATATAGAAAGCATAACAAATGGTGCTTTAATCGTTGTATGGTAGAAATTCTTACTTCAGACAGATGTTCGAAATCCATTATTACAGAAAATTCTTTCAGATCGTACTTGGCACATGTAATTTCTATATGTTATATTTAAAAAGTGATATATTTGAATATGATTTTCAGTGAAACTGTATTTTGATATTTGTATGACCTTTTTTCTCCCAAAGCTTTAGACACAATTTATATAACTAAACTTGTCAATAAAGCAACTGACTTCCACTCACCCATCCTTCAGGTTCATGAGAGCAGGAAGTTATGCTTAGTATGAGTGAAGAGAAAGCTGGGGCAATCCACCAATTGCTTTTTCTTTAATTTGTCTCTCATTAAAAGTGTAGGGACAACATCTACCAGTCATTTTAACATGATCATGAGGAAGAACCTTAATTTAGGTGTTCCTCCAAAATCCATTTACATTTTCAATTATGTCTTGTCAGCACCTACTGCAAATGACACTTGTTTGAGTTGAGGGCAAGTACCAGGTATCGTAGCATATTTTGGACTCATCAATGAAGCTGTGTCATCTAGTGGGATCCATGAATTATGCCTTTTCTGTTGCAGTACCTTTCCTCTGGAATGACAACAGGGCAGAGCCTAGATGGTTCTCAATCTGATAAGGTTCAAGAATTAAAGACTTGGCAAAGAAGTTAAGCCATGTCCCAGGCTTAAAATTGTACTAATTAATTAATATAGGCACATTTTCCTAATGCATTTTCTTTTAAGGCTTCTCCTTTAGGAACACTGATTATTATGAATATCCAGTTTTTTAATAGTCCTCAAATGACTATTTTCACTTTATTATATACATATAATATTTTTATTCAAAACACAGCTGTCTGTGAACATGGATGCCAGAATGGAGGTCGCTGCATCGGGCCCAATCGTTGTGCATGTGTATATGGATTCACAGGCCCTCAATGTGAAAGAGGTAAGAACTACAAAACAAAATGAAGTGTATCCCAAATCTGAATGTTTTCCATTAAGTGCTGTAGTGCTAAATAAGAGGTATGTGGAATATCACTTCCATTTGCAAGCAGTTAGAATAGCAGTTCATAGTATGATGTTGATATTATTCCAGTTGGGAATTTAAGATTTTTTTTTTTTAAAGAACAGGCAGATAGCAGATCCCTGCATTTCTGCATCTCAATATAAAATAGAGAGCTGTACAATAATCTGAGCATTGAGAATGAATCAGTACAGGTAATCTTCGACTTATAATGGTTCATTTAGTGACTGAAGTTAAAATGACACTGAAAAAACTGAATTATGACCATTTTTCACACTAATGACCATTGCAGGATCCTTGTCATGTGATCAAAATTTGGGCATTTAGTAATGTATTTATGGTATGTATTTATGATGGTTGCAGTGTCCGTCATGTGATCACTTTTTGCAAACTTCTGATAAGCAAAGTCAATAGGGAAGCCAATTCACTTAATAAATGTATTACTGACTTAGCAACTGCAGTGATTCACTTAACAAGTGTAGCAAGAAAGGTTGTTAAATGGAGCAAAATTCACTTAACAAATATTTTGCTTAGCTACAGAAATTGTGGGCTCAATTGTGGCCTTGAGGACTGCTTATATTAGTAAAGATATAACTGAATTAGAAGTCTTCATGCTTGGTTAGTTTATGGTTCAGTGTATTGTGTCCCCTGCAGCAGTCCAAACTAAAGAATACTTGACTAATGACCACTTATGCTTGAATATATCTTTCGGTGGAGCACAACTCAATTTTTGTATAATTGATTCCAGTGCTGAATTTCTCTTCCTACTAGAAAATCTTTCATCCTGTTCAAATGAAATCTGCTTTTCTAAGTTAAGTCTGTTATTTCACATACTATACTCCAGGATAATAAAGAAGAGGTCTTAACTTTTAGTGACATTCCTTGAATAGTGTATCATGCACCATAAATATTCCTAGTCCATCCATTTCTCTTAATAGAATTTAATATATGGTCTCCTGATGGTTTCTATTCCCATTCTCTGAAATAGTTTCAGTTTGTATGAATCTTCCTTAATAATATGGTGTTCAAACTGATTTTTTTTACTGTGGAGTCTTATCAATGCAGAATAAAGTAGATGCAAATTAGAATTCTTTGAATATAACAAAAACAGCATTTGTCTTTTTTTGCACTGTTGATTTATACTATTTTATAATTAATTATTGTTCAGAGATCTTTAAAAATTTTGTAAAGCTAACTGTTACCTGTTCTAGACTTATTATTTGATTTCGGTTACTTACATGGATAATTTTGTAGAGTTGGCTGCCAAATCTCGTTGTACTATTTTCAGTCTATGTCTATTCAAAATTTGTTATGAATTCTACTTTCTTCTACCATCTTTGTTATCCCACCCAATATTGTGTTGTCTTCAAATTTTGTAACTATTTTTTTCTCATCTAAACATAGGTAGTTCTCAACTTACAACCACAATTGAACCCAAAATTTATGTTGCTAAGTGAGACATTTGTTAAGTGAATTTTGTCTCATTTTACTACTTTCTTGCCATAGATATTAAGTAAATCACTACAACTGTTAAGTTAGTAACATGGTTGATAAGTGAATCTGGCTTCCCCATTGACTTTACTTGTCAGAAGGTCACAAAAGGTGATCACATGAACCTGGGACACTGCAGCCATCATAATGAGCCATATATGAGTCAATTGACAAGTGTCTGAATTTTTATCACACGACTGTATGGATCCTGCAATTTTTGTAAGGGTGAAAAATTGTAATAAGTCACTTTTTCAGTGCTGTTGTAACTTTGAACAGTCACTAAACAAACTTGTAAGTCTAGGACTACCTGTAATTAATAGAAACCTTGACTGTAAAAGGCCAAACATTAGACCTGGTAGAATCTTTCTTGATTATCTTTCCCCAGTTTATTTACCTGTATATGCATTCCAACAATTCCTTTTGGTTCAGTATTGTAACAAACAATTATGATATACTTCTGAACATATTTTTGAGGGAATTATACAGTCATTTTTTGTCATACTTAATAAGCTTAATAAGCTTTTCCTTCCTTTCATTGCCTTGTTCTAGCCTGTCCTGGGGCTGGTTAAGCCAACAGGAGGCTAAATGAAGCTTTATTGTACTCTAAGCAAAGTTATTTGGGGGGGGGGCATAGTTCAAGTAGAAAAAAAGGAGGCTGCATGGTATTCTAGAAGTTTGAGAGGTTTCTTAAAGTCAGTCATGGCAATGGTTGGTCCTCGTTTCCATATTCAGTGTTAAAAATGCTACACCATACTAGACCAAACCGAAGAAAACCCCAGCTATATTCGTTCCAATCATGTTACTGTAGAGTCGACAGAAGATTGGGAGGCTCATATTTATGCTAGCAGAATCCTACATTGATATATCTTTGGGGTTAAACAAAGGAAAATTGTTTTACATGATGGCAGAAGAGATTTTTTTCTTCACTTTAATTCCTTACAACCAGCATACCTTTGATTTAGGCTTACAGGCTTACTAAGTTGCAAAGAAGAATGGTATATCTGGTAATAAACTTCAACAATAATTTGTGCATTTTCCTAAAGAAAGATGTATGTTTTATATCAGGGGTCCCCTACCCTGGGGCCGTGGACGCACCAGTCCACGCTGGCCCAGGAACCAGGCTGCACAAGAGAGTGAAGCCCCCATTCACTCATGGGCAGGATCCAGGCACTTCACAAAACCACACACCTTGGTCTGTGCAAAAACTGCCCTCCATGGAATTGGTCCCTGGTGTCCAAAAGGCTGGAGGCCACTGAGTTAGATTGCATAAAACAGTGAAACTAGGTGCTAAACAGGCAGTAAAACTATGCTGGTAACTTAACTATATTATTATTCAGTAATGTACATTACAATGTGTACAGTATAATTTTGTATATTATACAAGATGCTCTGCTTCTTAATATCTCTATTCAGAATTGTACATTTAAATAATTTATCATAGCAACATTTATATGTTATATTTAAGTATCAAACTTAAGTATTTTATAAGATAATTGGAATGAAATATTTTACTTAATATATAACTGTGATGGTGAACCTATGGCATGTGTGCAACAGGTGGCGTGCAGAGCCATTTGTGTGGGCATGCGAGCCCCAGCCTGTTATGGTTTGCTGGCAGCAGGTTGGCTGAGGTCTTGGAGAACGAGGACTCAGATGAGGGGCCTGCGTGTGAGGCAGGGATGGGGCCAAGACCATCAGGGAGTGGAATGCTGCCTTTGGAGATTGTGGAGGCTGGCAGCAGTGATGAAGAGGTCCCCAGGAGACCTGTGCCCAGTAGGCGTGCACGCAGGACTGCTTGAAACTGGAGTTCTTTGCAGGAAGCAAAAAAGATTTTGCACTCAAGCCTTGTGGACATTCGGAATATCTTGGTTGGTGTTTGGAGACTCTTTGTGTTTGAAATATTTCTTAGTTACTTTATCTAGTGTTCTTGGCAGCCTTGCACCACCTTGGCAAGGTTCATTCTTATCAGAGACAATTAGTTTGAAACAGCCTTTTAAATGTGAAGGAACGGAATTTGTAAAGAATCATTAAAAGGTTTTTCTGTTACCTCTGTTTCGTGTTTGTTTCCTTGGAACAAGGTTTCACTCAGAACACAGCCAAACTTACCTGCACTGTGCATGCGCTTGCCTCCCAGATGATTTTCGGATCGTTTGAGGCCATTTTTGGCCTCCCAGAGGCTCGAGGGAAGCCTCTGCACCCTCGGGAGGACAGAAAATGGGCCTTCCGGAAATACCAGTAGTGCCAAAATGGGCCCGTTTTCAGCCTCCTGAGGTACCAGAGACTTCCTTCTGGAGGGCGAAAATGGCCTGTCCCAGGTTCCAGAGGCCCTCCGGAGGCTGAAAACAGGCACTTCCGGTATTTCCAGAAAGCCCGTTTTTCAGCCTCCCGAGGCTGCAGAGGCTTCCCTTGAGCATCTGGGAGGACAAAAACAGCCTGAAACGGCCCAAAAATCAGCTGGGAGGCAAGTGCATGCACAGTGCAGGTAAGGGGGCGGGGTGGGGGTATTGTATGCACATGCACTGGGTGGGGCGCATTGCATTGTGGGTGTTGGCACGCGCTAGTGCGTGCATGCACGCTTTCCGCACACCACAACAAAAAGGCTCGCCATCACTGATATATAATATACCAGTATGTAGTTTTCCTTCATAATAGCGTCTTAGAATAATAATGTTCTGACCCAGGCTTCGTCAAACATAATTAAACACAAACTTGTTTCAAAAGCAAAACCTATTTTATTGCAACACTGGGAATTACTTTCATTCCCAGCCAGAACTTATTTGTAAACTGTTCCCTAAGATAAGCACACACCTTTCAGTGCTGTGGAATCCTGCCAAAAACATAAGTATCCAAATTAATTATAACAGAAACCCATCCGAAGTACCAGAAAAAACCAACCAGAGTACACAGAGGTTCAAGGAAGACTCGGAATCTATCGAACTACTTTACTTCCTGCAAAGCTTTCATCATTGAGGTTTGACTTTTATCCCTTACGGGAGGGGCCATCACCTCCCAGCCTTATTCCCGAGTCACCCTTTCTGTTTCAGCTGCTCGCGCCTTCTAGCAGCTCTGCGCACACGCGCACTGGGAACAGGCTCCCCTGGGTCTTCTGCTTTGATGCTGCCAGACTCTGAAGGCTCCCAGATGCTTCTGGCCCCATCCCTGCATCGGACGCAGGAACCTCGTCCAAGTCCTCTCCAGATTCCCTGACTGTTCCCCTTTCTTCCTCACTGTCTGACTTCGCTGCCGTCTGCACCAGGTGCCGGCGAACCACAACAGATAATGCATGACTGCTTATTCAGCTATCTTGGTTTCCAGATGAAGGCAGAAGGGTGAAAAGTATCTAATCATTGAAATTACAATATATTTAATTGACATGTTACAAGAAAGTAGTTTTGGGGGACTTTCCTAGGTACATTTTCCTATATAAATATTTATATTCGTTATTGAACTGTTGGCTGTGGTTAGCTCTATTCTTGGTGTAAAAGACATACATTCTGTTTCTTCAGAATAAAACCTAGAACAAAATGGAAACATTCTTTTTAAACAAAAGGTGTCTTATAAATATAAATTTACTGTAAGATATAAATTTCATTTAAATCATGAGAAAATACAAAAGGTAATGGAATTTTTTTCATTTTAATTTGCTTGGGAAAGTGAAGGTTTTAAATGGGTGCCAGAAAGATTGTAATAGAGATGCCAGATACATTTCTTTAGGGAAGACATTCCACAAGTGGGATGTCACCCTCAAAAGCTTTTTCTTTAGTTGTTTCTTGGCTTATTTTCAGTAAGCCTTTTCTTTCATTTACTTATATTGGCTGCTTGTGACTCAATATAATTCAACCCAGTTATGTATCTTACTATAAAGAAGCCACGATAAACACCAATAGCAATCATTAAAGGTTGTGAAATATTTCTTTTAACATTTTGTTTTTCCAATGCTTGAAATCCTAATGAGTGTGAGCATGTATCGACTATATGTGTGTATAATTTTTAAGTAAATAATTGGAATTTCTGAATTTAAAATGGTATAGATATTCAGTACCCTTTATTGACTTTTCTGTTCATAACATATATTTTATCAAAATGAGATATAGTTTAAAAAAATGAAGGAAACTGTATTTCATAATAAATAATTAAGAATTGTATATGAACATGGTTTAATGAGTAAGATAACTAACCTTATATGACAATGATAAAAGTTAGAATTTCTAGAAAGTAATGCTTGCAACTTGAAACAATTTTGTTCCTCAAGTTCTATATCTATATTCAGAATTATTATTTATAATACTACAATCACCCTTATTTACCTTCTGTAAAGACATCCGATGACATCTGACGCGTTATGATAAAACTAAAGACAGTGCTTACTGCACAAGTTGAGTAGAGTGAAATGTCCTTTTATTTTGAAATATACACACAAATGCGCGCACGCGCGCACACACACACACATCTTGCTGATTCATAATATATTTGTAATTTACAGTTCTGAGATCCTTGTCACAAATAGTATTGTAAAGCCTTTTCATGACAGGCCACAACTTTCAAATCCTAGATTTCCATCCCTCCAGGGAAATAGTGTCACATTTGGCCAATGGTGCTTTTATTTAATTTATTTATTTGGCATATATTGACTCTTGGAATTTATCAGTATTGTGAGGAGCCTTTTTTCAGCTCTTCTAGCTTTTTGTCCTTTATAGTTTGTTTATTTTGACAGATGGACACAAACAATTCCAGTCAGAACCCTTCCTTTCCCCTAATCAATTTTACATGATTTAATCAGAAATAATTTCCAAAGGTTCCAAAATCACCAAACAATCCAAACAGACTGTTTCTTTTAAATACCTTCTTCTTCTTCACTTTTTCTTTCTGAGGTTAAAGTAATCACAAATCCTTTTCAAATATATTTTTGGGAAGTTTTTAAACTCTTTGCAATTCTAGGCAATCTTCTCCTTATTTTCAAATTTTGCTCTGATTTTTTTTTCCACTCTCCCTTCCCAGTCACAGCCAAAAAGATTTTTTTTCCCCCGCTGTCACTTTAGGAAGGAGAGTAGAACAAAGAAAAAAAAACTTTCCCCTTTAGGGTATTCGCAGCTTGTGACTCTCACAAGGAACAATATATCCTTAACAGCTTTCAAGGTTCCAAATCACTTTCTCCCGTCTTGTCCCGGTTAAAAGCACCTTTCACTTTCTCCAGCTTTCTCCCTCCTGCACTTGCTTACCCGGCTGCAGCTTTCTTCGTGGCGGCCATTACTGACCGCCGTTCCTCCGCCTCAGGAAAAGGGAGTTTAGCCGGCTGGGGAGGGGGTTTGCGACACCCCCAAACCCCTTGCCGGATCCCCCCTATCTTCAGCTGCCTCTACGGGGCAGCTATATCCCCCAGATCCAAATGGATCGGGGGAACCTTGGCGGCGAACGCAGCAGGGATCGCGCGGTCGCAAATCCCTGCTGCCGCCGAAGGCTAGCAAACTGGAAACCCCCTAATCAATTTTACATATGGACAAAATATACTGTATATTCCTTAAATTCAAAGATTCCAGGGATAACCAGCAGACTAAGTTTTGTGACAAACCGAAGAGTGCTACCAGGAGCTGCTGCATTAAATAAAGCAATACCTAGTTAAAAAGTTAGTAATTGTTAATATACTTGAAATAGAGTCTTAACTAGTTCCCAGCTATAATTTGTATTGCTGTCCTTAATCATGTATTAGGACTGAATACCTGAAGAAGAAAAGAAAGCCTATGGGTGTTTCATGTGATTGACTTGCCTCATTCAGTCCATAAAGTTCTAATCCATATTGCCCGGAGAAGGCTTTAGGTTACGTGTTCAATCTTGGTATTATTTTATGGTGCATTCAAGACTGGCCGTTTGTAAAAATGTATGCCTTTTTCCATAATTTTACATTTACAAAACTTTAATATCTATTAGGTTTTTTTAATGTATATTTCAATATAATATTAAAAGTGTTTTTCAAATGAAAAGCTAAAGAGAATAATGTTAGGAAATCACATTCATACCCTCAGTTTACCAGAACTCTCTATGGAACTTTACAAGTCTTGACGCTTAGCTAGTCATTCAAAAATAAATGAAGATTATTCAAATGGTATAATTCTATAAAATGAATAACCACATAAAAAGGAAATTGAGACTGAATAACTCAATCTGATAATGTGATCTTCAGTTTATTGTAAACCTAATCATGGGAGATATCATCCTGGGAAATATACCCATGTTGATTTGAATATATATAGACTCCATCTAATGATGGAGGAGAATGTATTTCAGTTAAATTATTAACTGAATTAACTCTTTTAAAATCAAGAACAGGATAGAATGTTAAAATAATCTGATTACAATTGTAAAACAAATTTTCTCCTTTAATTATGCAAGTAAAGATATATTCCTTTATTTGTTAAATTTCTGGTCTTGCAAATAGTTGAATAACATTATGGCTATACTGTATTTTTCCCCCTCAGGTGATAACTTTTTGCACATGATCATTTTCTCAAATATCTTCTTTACCTGGACTATCTTTAATCTGTTTACATTTGCATGTGTTTTCTGTAAATTGAAATAGTAAAAAAAGCAACATATCTGAAATTTGGCATACTGTCAGTTGTATGTCTCTCACAATAGGATATTGTATAGCAGAGATTTTAATTAAATCCTTCCATTATTTTAAAATATAGACAAGGTACTCTAAGACTAGAGTTTCAGTTTTAATATTTTTGGTGGTTATAAAAAATATTTTAAAAATCATGCCCTTGAACCTTAGAGATCAGTGGTTTATTGGGACAAGAGCATAAATGGGGAACAGATTATTGCATCGGATAACAGAACTAGATTGAAAAATTCCTGTGTGTTTAAACAGATGGGATGGAGGAACACTGCCTGTGCATTAAACTGTGTCCTTTAATTTCCAGATTATAGAACAGGCCCTTGTTTTATTCAAGTCAACAACCAGATGTGTCAAGGTCAGCTGGCTGGTATTGTTTGCACGAAGACACTTTGTTGTGCAACTATTGGACGTGCATGGGGCCATCCTTGTGAAATGTGCCCTGCTCAACCTCAACCATGTCGTCGTGGTTTCATTCCAAACATCCGCACTGGAGCATGTCAAGGTGGGCAAAGTAATTTACTAACCTTTAAAGTTTCCCTGCTATGAAATATCTTAGAATAAATTATTCAAGACAGATGATATTTATTCCTTTTTGTATACTGTTTACTGTATGTTCAAAATAGCAAATATTTGTGCAAGTATCAAGTACTTACTAGATTGCATTATGTTACAATGAAATTAATGTCTTTGGGAAAGAATGACATACTACAAAGAAAACATGAACCCAAAAGAACTGTATTGTGCATTTGTCAATCAAGAGACAGGTTTAATTTCTACATTAAAAAGTTGTACAGTTTTCTTGGGTATTAATTATTAGGGATGTTCAAAATGTTTCAAATGCAAATTATCCATTTCAGGTTTTACCTATGTTTTTGAGTTTGAAACAACTTTTTGCATTTGAAATAGATTATCTCAATCATTTTGGATATGCTTCAACTCTATTTTGAATTTCTAAAATTTGGAAACTGGAGCAACTATTTTGAACTTAGAAAAGTGTTATTTTTAATAAGTTTGAAATAGAACATTACTATGCATTAGTTCATGTTCTCTTAAGAATCTTTACTGATTTCAGCAGTTCCAAGTAGTCAGTGGAGGTACAGAAGAAGAGAGCAACAAAATAACCCCTTATTTGTGTAATGTAGTTATACGTCTCAAATGCTTCAGGCAGTGAAACCCAACAAACTTAAACATACATAAACAAGTAAAAGTGTTTTGGAAAATATACACATAAGAAACTAAGTGTCTTTAGTTTTGCAATTTTGTTTGCAGTAAATATATATTTGAGAGAAAACTTTCATGTTTTAATATATTTTTAAATATATTTAATATATTATTTAATACATTATGTTTAATTAAATGTTTATATTGGGAATGGGCCATGCAAGTGGTAGGTAAGAGTGCAAAGCTTCATTTGTGTATGTGTGGGGTTAGGTTGCACATACAAAATCTTTGCCCACCTCTGCTGCCAGTCCATGGAGCCAGAAAATTTGGGGACCGCTATGCTAGCTTGTTTATAGGGAACTGTCCTTACAAACAGAACCATAAAATCTTCAGTACCTATATTTTTATATTGACTGTACTGTATTTCCAGCTAGAAGATTTTTCTGAGTTTCTTTGGATAGTTTGATTAGATCTTTCAGTTACAGCTGGAAGCTTTATTTTCCTTCATAACAGGGTATCACATTTAGAATAATTCCATGCAATTTGAATCTTTAATTAAAATGTGAATTGTTTCCTTTTTCTAATAGTTTTCAGGGATTGTATTCTCTGTTATTGACTTGGCTTTCTTTTCTTTTTTTCTTTTGTATATATCCTGATGTACATTCTTAAATTTCATTTCTTAAAAACTGTAATAGCCCATGTTGCTGAAATACTGAATAATGCCATTTCTTTTCAGTTACACAAATTATTTTGCATTTAACTAAGAAGTATACTATTTATCAATATTCTCAGTGGTGGGATCCAAATTTTCTTACTACCAATTCTGTAAGCATGACAGGTCTACCGGCCACATGGAAGGGAGTAGGGAAGGCAGGCAGGGACGGTGTGGGGGGCAGCTAACTAGGCTGAGACTCGCAGGCTTACTTACCCAGGCTGGCAGATCAGGGCCGCAGGCACTGTGTGGGAAGGCAGGCAAGCCGCAGAGACTGTGTGGTCAATGCAAGCTAGGAGGCACACAGTGTGCTATGCCAGAATGGCGAGATGAGGAGTGATTGGGCGGGGCGGGGTGAGTAGGAGGGTGAGGCTAGCTGGCAGATAGGGCAAGCAGTGGGGCCAGCCAGAGGTGGTATTTGCCTGTCTCGGAACTACTCAAAACTTCCTCTACCGATACTCCAGAACTGGTTCGAACTGGGTGAATACCACCTCTGAATATTCTAATCTTATATTTGTCAGACTCCTAAAGTTTCTCTAATATAATCTGGTTGTGGAAAACATGATACTCTCTACCAGAGTACTTTAGGAAAAACTTAGTTTAGAAATTACATGAGCTGATGAAACAGAATGCCATACTTTGCAGTTGACCAGATTGGTACTCAGATTATAATTAATCTGAGATCCAGTCCCAGATAACCTGAGCCTGTAGATAGTGAGGAAGAATAAAGTAAGAATAAAAATAAAATTGAATTAAAGAAACCAAAAAAATCCACAATTTATTTGTATTTGGCACTGAACAATCGTTAACCTTCAAAGGTAGGCTAATTGTCATAGGGCAATAATTTGATATCTGTCTTATATTAGATATAAATTGTTACAGTGGTGTTGCCAAGGAGTTCAGCTAGTGGAGAAAACATCAGAATAGATTTAATAAAAGGAACTATAGAAATAGATAACTATACAAGGGGAATTCCATTTATATTTATCCATTTATATTTTCTAGTAATGCTTTTCTGTCACAGCTATTGTGAATATATCATTCTATAAGTCTATCTGATATATGCAGATATACTTCAGCCCTAGTTTATCTCCATGTCTAGTAAGGTATTTTCTAACTTCAGGTCATAATATAGGAAAACTATTTTTTTTTAAAAATCTTGATTTCTTTTCAGTAGATCAGTCTTAACATAATGCAGCTCACTTGCCTTTCCTTATTTAGAAAACATTTTTTATTTTTATAATTTGGTCATAGACTGAGAATCATTAACATTTCTTCAATGCAAAAATATGTTTATCTCACAGCATATTTTTGTTTCCTGTGAATATAAGGGATCCTTGCAGATTTTACTCAGTTAATCGTTGCTAACTATAGGGGGCGATGCTCATTTCTGTTTCAAGGCTATACGTACAAGCATTCATTTTAATTACTTAATTATTTCATTTCATTAAATGGTGAAATGGCTTCTTGTGAGGGAGTCAGACAGAGACTTCTTTGTAAAGTAATTGTCACTAGAGAATTCATATATTGCTGTTTGCACATTAATTTGCTGCTCAAAAACATCTGTAAATTGTTAGTACTAGCTAGTGCTTTCCTGACACACTTGGCTAAATTGAACAATAACAGAAGCAGATAAAGAATGTACTTATACTCAGTAACTAAATGTATTAAGTGTCCATTGAAGCACGAGTCCAAAAGAGAACATAATTTAAGAAATGGAAAGGTTATTGGTAATATTGAAATGGTTTATTGATACACGTAAATTGTTAGTTTTTGATTGATAAACAAGCATGTTTGGAATCATAGAAATTTGCTCATGATTTAATCTTGTTTCTAGTTAGAACAACTGAAAGGAATTCAAGTAAATAATGGTCCAAATGGCATTGATCCTAGCACACTGCACCATTATATCAACTTTGACAAGATGCACAAGAAATGAAACTATTCATTTTTCAGGCACAATAGAGTAAAATGGGGTTTGTTCATAGGTGCTCGATTGTTAATTATTACATTACCAATTACAATTCTAAAAACCTTGGTAGCAATATTTCCAGATATTATGTGGTAAAGACAATGTTTATCAAGTCATTACTGTTGTAACTACTAACTCACTAATTGAAGAGCTAGTGAGCTTTTTCAGATAATTCTGTTGTAGACCACTTCCATGTGTAAAATTCTCTTCTTAGAAAGTATATTAATTTTATTAATCTACTCTGAAGCATATTAAACAGCCTAGATTGTGCACCAAAATGGAAATGTATTAAAATGGTAAGCCTTGAGAAAACAGGATATGAACATGGCTTTATCTCAGTTTTAATCTAAATGATACATAATGAAGGCTAAAGTATTTTAAATAAATTCAGTAAAACATGAACATTTCCTGTAATTATTCTAAAAACTAAAGCTTGATATTCAACTTTTTTTATTCACAGTGTACATTCTTTTAGATTGTTGGATCTCTGAAAATATTTCTATATTATTATTTTATATAAGTTTGTTTACTTTAATATTAAAGTACAGTAACTGAGGGAAAGTGAATTGGAACCATTTAAATGTACATTTTAGGATACACGTGCACAGAAATTTAAAACAAATAGCATGTTGTAAAACAAAAAAAAATCTCGCAATAGCATTTTTTCTAAGATTTAGAGTAATCTTAGAACTTGGGTGGCATGGTGGCCTAGTGATGAAGATGCTTGCCTCCTACTTGGAAGATTGAGAGATCAACCCTAGGTAGCAGCAGATGTTTCTCTCCTAGGGCACAAAGAAAAAATATCTGCTGCAAACTGCATGGTGTCAGGAAGGTCATCTGGCCAGTAAATGTTTAGCTCCATCCAGTTGCCTGAACTCTATACCCCAATTTAGAGATTACAGGATCATAAAAAGGGAGAAATTTTCCATTGAACTTTGAATAAATTTATGTATGAGTTTTGTATTCTAATTGTTACCAACAGAAAAATCCTCTATCTGGAAAGTCTTGCAGTCAAATAAGACTTATTTTGAAGAACAATGGAAGATAATTTTTTAGAGTTTATCTTACTTAATTTACAGATATAGATGAATGTCAGGCTATTCCTGGAATCTGTCAGGGGGGAACTTGCATCAATACAGTCGGATCATATGAATGCAAATGCCCTGCTGGTCATAAACAGAATGAAGCAACTCAAAAGTGTGAAGGTAAGTATAATGACTTAAAATATACAGTAGTTGGTATGCACTTCCCTTTGAAAGCACAGACACTGGAAATCCTGCAATTTTCATGTTATTTGGAATGACCCCAAATAGCAATTGTGGGATTCCTAATAGTAAATAAAAACAATAAACAACTTTTAAAGTCTTTTTAATAATGCATATTACACTGTTCAAACAAAAATGCAATTTGCTTAAAAATACAAATTTGAAAATATAACATTGACATAATTGAGACTAAGGTTAAAAAATATAGTTTTACATGGATTTCCTATTTTCAGAGAGGGAGAGAAGAGTGAGATAAATATTCAGTCAATAGATGAATATTTATTTTTTCCTTAACATAAATGATCTCACTGGCAAATATCCTGTCTACTCCCTTCCTTTCCTGATACGAGCATAAAGCCAGTTCAAATATTGCAAAGGGGCAAAAGTCTTATAGGCCATTCCTAGGCAACATGCCAGATTTAACATATGACTTTGACATTAATTATCCATATTTCTTAAGTGGGAGGCCTGCAGTTAAGTTTTAGCATGCTTAAAAATTTTTTTCCTATCAATAATCTGAATAAATATTATTATTAAAGTTTGCTAACTAAAATTCCTTTAAAAAACACTTTTACTATAAGTTAGTTCCTACAAGGACAAAGTCTATCGTATTTCTGTAATTGTATGCAATTGTATATTTTCATTTTTATTACTGAAAGCTTTTTATTTAGTTACTACTTATGTAGTAGTATTGAAGGAAAACTATAGAGCCTTAAAGGTTTGTTAATAGTCTCTTATCTTACATTCCATGTATTTTTAATTAAAGACAATTTGTTATTGTCTTTAATTAAATAGAATACACACATATATGTTTATGTGTGTATGTGTATGTGCATATGTATTTGAACATACACACATACATACACACATACACGTACATAAATACAGATGAAAGACTTGACGTGTTATATATTTAAACAGAGTTTTGCACAACATTTCAGTTAAGCAGTGACTATATAACTGTTCATACATTACCTCTATAAGCATTTTATTTATAAATTTCAAGTGAGGTCAAATCTTCAATCTATTATGTGATCTGAGGGTGAATTTATCTTTCCAGTATTATTCAGATACAACTTCAATTGATTTTAGTATATCCTACTTCTAATAATAATGAAAAGTTTTGTTAGCTTTAAAAATAGCTATAAAATCATCATATGCAAAAAGCATTCAGAATTTGCTTCATAGTTTCAACTTAAATCTATATAATTTTCTTTCAGTTCTATAAAACTGTTATTATTTATATAAAGTCCTTTGACTGTCTTGACCATGTCAAACTGGAATGTTCATAAGCTGCACTGTCTTTGGAAAGTTTTCAAAGACTGCACAGTAATTTTAGCCACTTTGGAAATGGGGTGGGGAGTTTGAAGACGATGCAGCTTTAAGCATTTGCTGGAGAAACTAGGTCTGAATAGGACACAGAAAAGGCAGGAAAGCCCTGGGTGAAAAAGGTTGGTGTGGGGAGTTGGGAGAGAACACAGCTGGGTGAATGAATGTTTGCTGGTACTTGATTTGCTTGCTAGTGCAGGCTGAGTTTGGGAGATAAAACAGCTGGATAATGGATGCTTGATGGTGTTTGCTCAAACTTCCCATGAAGTTCCCACAAGAACCATGACGTTCTGGAGCTGCTTGCCACCTCATTTGTCTCTTGGCTTGGGGCAAGTGTTTGTGAGGTAGTGCTAGTCAGGGAGGGTATGTGGGGTGATGCAAAACTACTACATGGGTCAGGGAATGTGTGTGGGGTGTGACACAGGTCGGAGAAGGCACGTGGAGCTGTTTGACCTGGGAACTTGTTCCCTCCTCTCCCCTATAGCCACCTATTCATTCACTGAGACTTTTTGAGTTATTGTGATTTGATTTGAGATGAAAAGTGTGGGAGATATTATTCTGGAACACAGCATTTCATTTCTTATTGTTAATGCCCAAAATTATTAAAGAGAAATACTCCTCTTCCCAGATTAAGGAGTTCAATAATTGTTGAACAACGAGGAACAGCACTCTACCACAAAGTATCCATTAATTTCAGTTAATCTAAAAATATTGATTATAATGATGGAAGGGTAATCCTTGTTTTGTAGTTCAGTCTAATCTTCACCAGTAATCCTGGTGACAACCAAGACCTGAGTGACTGAGAATTTCCATAGACCTTTACCAGTAATGGTTTCCAAACTTTTGGACTTTCCTTATGAATTGTTAGTACACAGTTCTAGGGACAACCAAGTTCAGAATGTTGGGTGGCTCTTTTTCTGGTTTTATTAATGCATAGAACTATAAGAATAGACTTTTTAGAAGCTTCCAAACACGAGAACATATAGTTTAAAGTGCTTTATTAATAATACCAATTCTACTAATAATAAAAAAGAACATTTATTCATTTGTATGTGTCTACAAAATTGTTCTGGTATATTTCTGGAACTATTTACTAGATACTTATTACTTATAGTTAGATATTTATTCAGTGAAAGTATTTGAGCAAATAGATCATTCTTACTTATATTCCTTTATTTCCCCCTTACTTTACAAAGAGGAAAACTATTTTTTCCTGGCAGACTGGCTTTTTATTAACTTATTCCATAGCTGGGAAATGGCAATCAGTTTTATAGATGTGTCTACTCCTGTTTTTGATGCCTGATCTTTAAACATCAGTTCTTACATCCCTGGTCTTGTTAGGACTTAGAACAATGACACCACTATGTTTTCCTTGTTAATCTTTAATAAATAGTTCCATATACATTTACTTTGGAGGTATTGTATAGATGATAAAAAAAAATCATACTAGGGGCCATTCTAGTGTAGCTAATGGATTCATTACTTCTACATCACACATTTTAAGTGAATACTGCAACCTTTGAAAGAGAGAAGTGTAAAATTTAAAAAACTGCATCTACTAAGACATGTTTGTCAGAAGTTTTTTTAAACATGACTTCTACATATTTATAATTCAACTTTTATTTTTATGCATTATTAACTGTAGAAACAAACTTCCGTATGAATCTGCCTTGAATAAGATCTGTATTGCTCATTCTTCTATGCATTCTGCCATCAAGAAGACTAGATTTATGGGAATATGGGACAAGATTCTTTTCTGCATAATTCATAATTCATTTTATAATGAGTTTAATTTTTTATAAAACAATGTTAAATGTATGAACACTTTTTAAGAATTTTTCCTTACTAATTTTGATATGTAGATGTTTGTTATTTTATTTATTGTATTTTTATTATTGTTTTCCTAATTAAAGTTTAAAGTTCTTAAGTGCATTTAGTACTATGTGATTGTTCAAAAATACTGTTAAATAAATAAATATCCCTCCTGAACTCTACTTTACATGTTAAGTTACTGGCTAACTATATATGATTTTTCTCATTTTTAAAGGAACAAAATAATAGAAATATGTATATTATCTTAAAAGTAAAGTTGGGATGGAGGACAAGACTCTATACTTTTACTCTAATGGAATCACTTCATTGATTCAATAGTAATTGTACGTACTTCTTGAAGAAGGAAATAGAAGCAGTTTGTACTACAGAAACTTAAATATTTTTTCCTCAGCTTTGTTTCCAAATCCTACAACTGCTTAATGTTTCCTTCCATCATCTAGGTCAGTGGTTCCCAACCTTTTTTTCACCCCGCACCCCTAAAGAAATTTTACTCGAACCTCGCACCCCCTGAAATTTAGACTTTAGGAACTACTGAACACGTTAAATATATGGTAGGATTGAATCTATTCAGCTATATATGTGACGGCCACTAAATAACGATACTTAACTCTAAAATGAAAACAAAGTTAATCCATTGCATAATAAATAAAAATGCCAACATATAGCCAATATCCTATTATTTACCTGGACTTTTCTCGCACCCCCTGGAATATCGTCTCGCACCCCAGGTTGGGAACCCCTGATCTAGGTACAGAAGCAACCATGCACATATGCACTACATTGTTTAAATTATGCATTTTTTGCACTATAAGATGCTTCAAATTTTTTCCATAAGTCTTTTTGATATGTATATGTGGGATTTCTGTAGTCTAAAAATATTTTAAAATATAGAGGACCAAAAATATAAATAAATTGAAGGCATTATTTTGAAGAAAGCTATAGTGTTTTGACCCTCTTGCCTGAATTACACCTCCTTGTCTTTTGAAAATTGCAGCCACGTTGTTTTTACACCTGGCTAATGAAACAAAACACTGTGTTCAAAGACATAAGATCAGGCAGGCATTACTATTGATATGGAATAAATAAAACAACAAATATATATAGAAGCACCAATATGGTTATCCATACTGGAAGCCTTAATGCATCCAAATTTGCTTCACCAAGGAAAAATTATTACATATGAAGATATTCTAAATGAGACAGGAGAATTCAAATCAAGGCAAGAATTGAAAGAGCAAGGAGTGGATTGGGAATGGTGGGCTTACCTACAAGTCCAATCACGATATAGAAAAGACATGAAAGTTCAGGGAATTAGCAGACAAAAAACGAAATTAGATGAAATACTACTGAGAGCAGATGATAAATTGATAAGGAAAATTTATAGAGTTCTATTGGAATATAAATTAGAGGAGGAACAAGTAAAAGAAACGATGTTGGCATGGGCGAAGGATATTAGACATATTAATTTGGACAAATGGCAAGTTCTATGGGAAAGAAATAAAAAAATAACATTGGCCAGATCGTATAAAGAAAATTTATACAAAATGTTTTATAGGTAGCACATCCCTCCAATAAAATTAGCTAAAATGTATCCAAATTTATCTCCTATTTGTTGGAAATGCTCCCAGGAAAATGGATCATATCATCATATATGGTTGACTTGTAGGAAAGCCCAGGATTTTTGGCACAGTTGGTTAGAGGAAATGGGTGAAATCAAACTTGAATATAAACCAGAACTCTTTTTATTGGGAATTAACATAGAGAGGTACAATAATGATGTATCTAATAACACACGTGATTACAGCTGCAAGATTAGTTGTGCTCAAAACTGGAAACTTAAGGAAATTCCAGACGAAGTGGAGATAATTAAAAAGATATGGACATGTGCAGAAATGGATAAACTAACATTGGAATTAAAAAATAAAGACAAGACTGAATATTATAAAGTATGGGATAAATTTTACCATTGGTTGGGAAAAAGGAAGACTTAAAATCAAAACTAAAATGAGATAAAGATGTTAAGATAATAGATTAGGAATATAGAGAATTGTTGGAATATATACATGTATATACTATGTAAATATGTATTTGTCACCTGAAATAGTTATGTATGACAGACATGTCAGGATGATTACACCATGTTCACTGTTTTTAAATGTTTTCTTTTTTAATATTTTTTTTAAAAGAAACAAAACACTGTGTTTTTAGTTGTAGTTGTAACAAAAGACAGACTCCCCCCCCATGCCTATCTTCTGTTACAAATAGATATTTTGTATCAGTGAAGGATTTTTGCATAGAAGATGCATTTTTGTTGATGAGATTTAATATACATTTTATGTTAAAGAGATGTCTTATCTCCCCCCGCACGCAGTTTAGCTTTTTTCTATATACATTTTCTATAGTATAAGGACATTTTGTAACAGTTGCTGATCACAAATTGCATAGGATTTCCTATACTCTGTTGAGTATGGCCCATTACTTGCTATCTTTTTAAATATGCCTGGTAATATTAGTTCTGGAAATCAGATATAAAAGTGCAGGAGAGTTTAATATTTGTAGATATACATATCAAATAATCAGAATTCCAGCTTGCATATAGAGTCCAAGACAGTGTAATCACGGATATCATATTTAATAATGTTAAAATATCTTTAGAATAATTCTATTTTGTGGAGAATCATTCTTTTGTTTAAATCTGTAGATATTAATGAATGCAGCCTCATCCCAGGAATCTGTGATGCTGGTGAATGTTCCAATACTGTTGGAAGTTATATTTGTCTTTGTCCACGTGGCTTTGTGACATCCACAGATGGCTCTCGTTGCATTGGTAAGTTACCATACCCTTTTCTGTGGATTTTTCTTTATGTTCATTTTATTTGTAACTAGTCTCTGAAGTAACTTTCTAATCTTTGCCCTATTCTGCAGTTGAAATTACTTGATTCTGAAGATCTTGTTCAGAGAACATTATATCAGATGGTATGCAGTATTATGTTCCCAATTATTTTGGGAAGAGAAAACGTTATGGTCTTACGCACTTTTACCTTGTTTCTACACTTTTTTGTAAGATATAATTTTGTACTCTTTATCCTGTATCAGAAAACCAACTCAGCAGCGGATATGCTAGGTATCAAGCTCAATAGCTTAATAGCTCAAAAACTTCAGTATCACTTGCTGATATTTTCCGCACTAAAAGGAAAATTCCATGAATGTAAACAAGTATCCATCATAAATAGACAGCGTGGAGACTAAGAGAAGAAATCCAAAGCTTTTCTTCTGAAAGGGGGGGCATAGTTCTTCAAGAGAGTAAATCTCTGAGAGTAAATTCTGGGCACTATTCTATTGTACTATTTCTCGGAAACTGTGAAATCTATCTTACTGTATATGGTTGTCATTTCTGCTGAACAATAAAGATATACTTTCTGGCCGCATATTCATCATGGGAGCCTAGAACAGTTAAATGATTTATCCCAAGGAAATTTCTATGTACAGAAACCTTATGGAAGGGTGCCACAGACCTTCTGTTATAGATGCCTGCTAATTCATCCAAGTGATCTCCTAGATACAAATGCAAAGTAGCAAATTTACAACCCCAAGTTAATTTCTAGCCACAAGATTCCTGAAAACATCCATTTGATAAACCTGATAATCTAAGTCAATAAAAGATGTACAAAATAAAAGTAGATTACCGTGCAAATTACAAAAAGATAATTAAATGTAATTAATGTTAAAATCATTATGGAGATAAATTCATATGTCTCTTTAAAGATTGATCTGAATATGTTATTCTTTAAATAGTTTTCTTGGTTGAAAATAAGTCTATAGCACCTGCCTCATCCATCATTGATTTTCATTTAGAAAATTCAAATTAAATTAGGATCTAAATAAGGCAGAAGAGGATTGGGTGTATTGTATTTGTGTATTGGGTGAAGAATCAATTAATTAAAGGCGATGGGGTAAAAAGTGATGACTTTTTTTATTCCAGGCATACACATGTTGACCAGACTCATTTTCCTTACAAGACTTGCCAATTTAAACCTATGACACTTTCCACAAATCAGTAATTTATAAAATGTGGCTAATTTGTAAATTGCTATTTTATTATTTCTCACCTTGACAACTTTAACTTCCCTGACTTCAACTTCCAGAATTCCCCAGCTAACACTGGGTTCTTTTGACAGCTTACAGTAATTTCCCCATGTCTTTGAATCCAGATGGTTGACATCCCAATAGTTGTAGCATATTTTAGTCTAGTCATCATTTCAATTAGTCATCATTAGTTTTTAATGTTTTTAATAATAATTATTATTATTTGTGAACAATTGGTTTTTTTTTAACTTTATTGTACACTGCCCAAAGTTGCTTGTTTTGGGAGATGGATAGCTGTATAAATTTTAAAAATAAATAAATACATTTTATGGTTCCAGTTAGTTTTTAAAGTACTGTGTTGGGGTTTTTGAGAAAAAAAGGGGAGGATTTGTATTTATAGATGACTTTTTTATATCACTTAGGGTCACTTCATTAGAAATGGGTGGCTATATAAGTGCTATAACTAAATAAATAAATCATTTCTTCTTCCCATTGTGAGTTGCAGTGAAAAAGGAAAAGTCTGAAGTAGTGCCTAGTACGGACTCATGTGACTGATTTGTGGTATAGATATAAATTTATTTGCATACTTTTGCCTTTTTTTGTCTGTGCCTTCCCAAATGTTCTTAGCTATAATTCATCACAATGGCAGTCACAAATTGCAGATGGTAGTGTTGCATGTTTCACTGATTATATTTATAATAGTTAAGAAAATGTTTTTACTAAGTGCTCCATTAATAATTTTTTGAAATTAATATCCAGATCAAAGAACAGGTACTTGTTTCTCCAGTCTGCTGAATGGTCGCTGTGCACAAGAACTTCCAGGCAGGTTTACCAAGATGCAGTGCTGCTGTGAATCTGGGCAGTGTTGGGCTCTTGGTTCCATTCCAGAAATGTGTCCTGTTAGAGGCTCTGGTAAATATCTTAGCATGTTAAAATTACTAGAAAAACTCATTTTAATATCAATCCTGAAACAATGCAAAGGCTTACTTTAAAGTATTTATCAAATTAAGCCTCACTGCTTCTGATTTGTTATTGATTGAGCCAGTTTTTTTCCTCTTGTTATTTGAAATAATTCTTCAAAACAAAATTTATTTGAAGGAATTATTATTTATTTGGATTTAATGAAGCAACTTTCATTTAATTACATTGTTAAATTTAACTGATAACTATGTTTTATATCTTCATTCTGTTGGATCTTCGAAGGGTGAGGTTACATACAGAAAGCTTCAACCAACAGAATATTTCTGAAATAAAAAAGCAGCAAGAAAATTTATTTATATGAGCTGCTTGTCTGCATAGAAAAACGATAATTTCCTATATTGCACTTTATATGTTAGAGTTGTTCTATATCAGGGCTGTCAAAATCCCGGCCCACGGGCCAGATGCATCACGCATTGGCCACACCCGCGCCTGGTTTAACAAAGGGGGGGGAAAGTCCTGATATATCACGTGATGACGCTGTGATGACATGAGTTTGCCACCCCGTTCTATATAGAAGTCCTTTTTTCCTTTAAAATAATTGAAATACAACATCTTCAGTTAGTAACTTATTGATTTGGCTGAGTAGGACAACAACATTTGTCGTGGCTGATAGAGAATATTGAAGTGGAAAATAATTCAGAGTTATTCTTCATTTTAATGTTGCCTCTATTATCTACATCTATTATGCAGATTTGTACTTGCTTTGATTGTTTATTTTGATTATTCCATTTACTTTTAATGATATTTTCCTTATTAAAAGCCTACATCATTTCCTGAGAAATGTTTTATTAAGAGCGTGATTATATTGGAGATGACTTAAATTTTATCTAAATGTTCACAGTTATCACCAATATTTATCATATAATGAATTAGAGAACTAAATTGTGAATTAATAAAATGTATAGTAATTTTATACTAGATCTACTCAATAGTTACTTGTTTTTGTATATGATGAATAATAAAATTTACATTGAAATGCCATTTTTCAAATCAGTGAATTGATGTCTGTTTATATCTTTTGAAAGATACGTGCTCATATGTGCATCTTTTGGAAAAATATGATTATAAATGTTATTTTTATTTTTTTTGTAGATGAATATCGTGGGCTTTGCATAGATGGCATTTCTGTTATAGGTGGTTCCAGGCCTGGTGGCACAGGAGGAAATGGCTTTGGCCCAGGAGGAACAGGATTCATCCCTATTCCTGGTGGAAATGGGTTTTCCCCAGGTGTACATGGAACTGGAATAGGGACCGGTGGCCAAGGTCCCACAGGAAATGGCCCCATTATTACGGGACTGAGTAAGTTGCTTGATTGCATAATTATAAAACTGAAGGCTCTTGCAGTAAACATTTGTAAACCTCCTTTTCTACTTCATAGTTAAAACTAATAGGGTTTTTAAATGTCTGTTTTATCAATGAAATATTGCTAACAATATAAACTTGATTTTTTTAGTTCTTCCACTGCTTCTCAAGTTTCTTTATATTCCCAGCATACTCCAATTAATTTATGAGACATTCAATATGTGCAGAATTATGAGTCCTCATTTTTTTTAAAAAAAATCTTCTTACATTTTTAGCCTATACCCACAACCAATGACTAATTCAATCACATAAAATTTCAAATTTATTATATATTCTAAGTAATGTTTGATAAAAACATTAATTGATCTACATTTGGCCTTTCCATGTTCTCATGCATTATGGGCTCTCTTTCCATTTTCTTCCTGATAAAGAATACAACCTGGCAGTGACATCCACACTCTCTAGCTGCTCTAGATTAATGATGATGCTTTAGATTAATGAAAGAAGTATCGCAATGAAAGATGTACCTCTTTTGGGCATCTGGGAAAACTCTTGCATTGCAATGTTGTGATGCTGTTTTCATCAGTCCCCACTGGTGGATGCCACTGGAACCTGATTTCAATTTCCCAAACTCTAGATTTCTTTACTGCGGTACAACCAAGTATATGTAAGGAATGAAAAATGATGAATCTCAATGTTATGTGAGAGAAATCTGCAATTCTGCTAAAATTAAGGGGGTTACTTAAATTAAGTAACCAAGCAAAAACCAATAAGAAAATTACATATGTGCAACCAATCACTTAGTGACCAAAGTTGGGATAGCTACCCCCAACCTACTTACAATCTGGTTTCAAACTTATGCCCACCGCAGTGCCCCTGTTGTCATTCGCCCTTTTGACTGCCTGCAGGTATGTTGCAGAGCTGTCTCCATCTATCTCCCTCACCCATTCTGGCCAATTGGATTTCTGCAGACCTTTTCCCTGCTCCCAAGCTAGCTACTCAGAAAGCCTCAAGTTGCAGAGGGTACCAATGTATGTTAGGGTGTTGAAGCTTGTAGGCCTAGGGCTTGTTTCCTAATCAACCACTCAGCCACCTAGGGCTTTGCAGGACTTGGCCTGTTCTTCAGCTAGTTCCAGGACCCAGCAGCACTCAACTGATCTTTCTTTTTTTGCAACTTCTGAGAAGGCGCCCAGCAGATGTGAAACTCAGCTTTCCTACAGAGGCAGCTTTGTGATAGCCTCCTGTTAATTCTGCAAGTATGTGTTGTTCTTGCAATCCTTTGGGAATCTCAATTTTTAAGGAAAAAGGAACCTCCTTAACATGAAGCCTCCTTTAAAATGGAATTCTCTATTGTGAGAATACCACTTTCTTTCACAAGGAAATCCTATCTCCATCAAAAAGAACTTCTGAAATAAGTAATAAGCCCTTACCTTGGCTGAGCTGTTTGAAATCCTTGTTTTCTGGTCATGTTAAATTTGAAATGTTTCCAGCATTTTCCTCCATTCCATTCTAAGATAGATTCCACTGAAGTCAAAAGAGTTGACTTCAGAGAACCTTAAGTCACCTAATAATACAATATATATTTTTATTTAATATTTTAAAAAGTATTTTTTTTAAAAAAGAACTTTAGAGATAATAATCCAAACTTCTTATCTCACGTCTTTTTATAGCAATACTCAATCAGACAATAGATATCTGTAGACACCATCCAAATTTATGCTTAAATGGGCGTTGCATTCCAACAATTTCCAGTTACCGGTGTGAATGCAATATGGGATATAAGCAGGATGCCAATGGAGACTGTACTGGTGAGTACAATTTCCAATTTCACCTTTTTTCTTATTATATATCTTAGTATATCCTTCTTTAAAAATCAGATTTTTAGAAATGCCATGTCTTTGATTATAGTGCATTTTTGCAAGCTCTGATCTATCTGAAATGTAGATTGATATGTTTTAGATGAACTGATAACAATAAAATGATTTAACCAACATAAAGCCTTTAAAAGACATATCTATCAAAGGAAATGTTTTCTGTTGGAGATGTTTTTTTACAAAATGTATATAAATTAATAACATAATTGCTAGGTAAAAATAATTAGAATATAAAGATCTTCTCTAGCCCTTTGCTTCTCAAGACCTTTGAGAGAAAAATGTCAGGAAAGCCTTTGCAATATCTAGGTAGTCAAATGCTTGAACAAATTCATATAGGAAGTATATAGTGAACTATTAGAATATGCTCAGAATCAACTTCTAATACATACTTCAGTTATCAGCTCCAAATTTTCAACTACATATTTATGAATTCATTTATAAAGCTCCATAGAAATTATTCTGAAATAACTGGCTTTTGTGGACAAAACAAAAAACATATTTTGTAATAAATTCCCATTTAAGTTAAAATATTAAAGAGAGTACTTGGGAGGAAAGTGTTTAGAAAACACTGAACAATCATAGGGTAGTTTGAGTAGTATGGTTGGGAAATTAAAAAGATGTCAAAACATAATGTGATTTTATACAATTTTGTCTGGGTAGGTTTGTTTTTTTACTTAAACGACACAAGGTTTGATCTTATTCTGTATTCATTGATTTGAATAGAAAGAAAATATTCTTTCTGTCAAATTCAGGGATAAAGTACTATACATATAGTATGCCCCTTTTTGGACTTAGCACACATACTATTTTTTTCTAAGCATACTTTAGAAATTTAGAAATGGGCACATTGCCAAACAAAGCATTGGGCTAGTCACATGTAATCTTTACTTTCAAAGAATATCTAAGGAGCCATTATTTTTTGTTCCATAGTGCTTCTTGGCAAAAATACTGTTGGGGAAAAAAAGTACTGGATTCTCTAATAATTGCAGTTTGCTCTGCACAATGCTAGTTACTTCATTTACTTTAAAAAAAATGAAGCAGCTTAATTTTTAAAAGTCAAGTAGAACAGTAAACATGACAGTAATGTAAGGAAGTGTCTGCAAGCACAGTGCAGCTCACAATTACTTCAGCAATAGATTCCTTATAGAATAAGGACCTATGACTAGGGAATACTTTAATGTTATTGTACTTCTGTGATACTGTATTTTGTGTTGTTAATCATATTTTAAAAACTCAGTATATTTAAATCTGTATAATAAGATTATTAGAGTCAAAACAAAAAAATGAGAATGTAATAATGTTAATAATTAGTTGTATAAAAAGGTCTATATTTCCTTTTTGAAGATTTTATTTGCATGGAATTAAATATTATTTTCTATTTTGTAAAAAGCAAATTTATACTTTCTATTAGGTTTCTTTTAGTTAGAGAATTGTGATTTCTTATATTTTAAAAATGGTGAGTTGAATTAGCTTGTGATTTATGTAAGCTAATTGTATTTGTTTATGAAATGCTGTATTTTATTCAAAAAAACTAGTATGTATAAATTATGAAATTTGATAGCATTCTTTTCTGATTCCAACAGATGTTGATGAGTGTATATCAAATCCATGCTCTAATGGAGACTGTGTGAACACACCTGGCTCTTATTATTGTAAATGTCATATAGGTTTCCAAAGAACACCTACTAAGCAGGCTTGCATTGGTATGGAAATGTTATTTGCAATCTCAATTCAATCTATGCTTATATTTGATTTGAGTCTGATACTTATTCAACTCTGAAAACAAGATTATTTTGTCTGTTCAATAAACCATGACAATGAGTTAATGTTTGCAGGTATTTAATTAAATTTATGGTATAGTGAAGCAAAATTTGACAAATTGTATCATCTTTAACTCAGGTGATCTTACACATATGTATCTCATTTGAGAATGAATCATGAAAAAAATAAAGCAACATTCCATGCATACAGTTGTAATAAAACAGTTACTGGTTCTGTTAACAAGATTTCAATGGTCCTTTTTTCCAAATACAGTTTTTAATTTAATGTTTGCCAGAAAAGCACTAAAAAAATCTGAAGAAGCTTCTAGACCCATTTTGATCCTAATGATAGCATTAAAATTATAGTCCACAGGCCTATTGATTCCTAGAATATATTGAACTCTATTGAACTCAGGTGATAAAGAGCATTCTGGTGACTAATAGAGCTCAGATTTCAGTATGGTCTCAGATATATCCAGGATATTCTGAGGCTTTGAACATGAAAAGCTGTAACCCTCTTGGCTGCTTGAGTGCTTCATTTAGATAATGAAAAATAATGAATACATTGTAAGTTTGCATATCCAGATTCTTTTTTGGTCAGTCATGATTAATTCTGGAAATTTGCAATTAATATAATTTTTCATAGGTGTGTATACAATACCAGCATATGATTACTAGAACAAAAATTGTTCTAAATCTGGTTATCTGTTTATTCCAGAAATTGCATAGCCAGAGGGGAAATTCATACTCACCAAGGTTCAGCCGAAGTTCCTGTTCAGGACAAGAACAATTGTTCAAAATACCCCCTAACTTACTATTTCCACTGGGAGGGGGAACGATTTGGGGGGAAATGTAGCAATCCAAGTTAGGACCTCAATATCAGTATGAATTAAAGAGTCCTAATTTAATGGTGTACGATGAACCAAGCATTATTTTTAAGGCAAAAAAGGCAAATTATATGTGGAGAACAGAGTCTTGATTGTCTTAATCCTTGGCCGGGGTCAAAACTTAGTTTTGTAGTTAATTTTATTTGTATTAGAAAAAGATATTTGTGCTGTTTCTTAATCTGCCAGTAACTTTTGGTCAGTGGATTTAAAATTTGTAGTTTTAAAAATAGTGACAAAGTGGAGGACATACGGAATATATTTATTTAAAAAATTTAAGGGGTTTAAAGCATGTTTTTTTTATATTAAATATCCATTTTATGCTTAGCTAAATCAATTTTGTTCCTTGCTGCTCCACCTCTCACCTCTGTCCACATCTGGCTCGAGTCACAAAATAATTAGGTTCCCATGATTTATAGATGAAGAAAGTAGTCTTAAAACTCTTGCAAATAAAATAATAACTGGTTATTGAAATGTTTACTTTTATTTGTTTTTCTCAGACATTGATGAGTGTATTCAGAATGGTGTCCTTTGTAAGAATGGTCGTTGTGTGAATACTGATGGTAGTTTCCAGTGCATTTGCAATGCTGGCTTTGAACTGACAACTGATGGGAAAAACTGTGTTGGTATGCATTTCTTATTTTATTTTACTTTTTAGGCGTGGTTTTGTTTTAGTTACAATTGCTCACATTTACTATTAATGGAAAATCAAATTTCCCGAGAAAAGCTTGCAAATTGTCCTGCACTCTATGGATTAAGAAATTATATTGGATTCTGTCAAGTTTTGAGGTGGGGGTAATGGGATTGGCACAAGGAGGAAAATTAGTTTTTTTAAAAAAGGTATACCTTTTTGCTCTGCATCAGAAGTTTCCATTAGATAAGAATCATATTTCTGAATAGAAGAAAAACATCTTTGGGGATTTAGAATTTCATATATTATTTCAATTGTAATCTCTAATGCTTTATTTTTCAGATCATGATGAATGTACAACTACCAACATGTGTTTGAATGGAATGTGTATCAATGAGGATGGCAGTTTCAAGTGCATCTGTAAACCTGGGTTTGTCCTGGCTCCTAATGGGCGTTACTGTACTGGTATATATGTATTTTACCTATCTTGATGAGATCAATATTTGTATAAAAAGTTCTATACTTATATAACAACAATACTAAATTTAAGTTTCTATGCCACCTGACTCTTAATTGTGGTGTTTTTTGCATTTGAAAGTGTTATGGAAATCTTTATTATTATTTATATCATGCCTATGGATGATATATTATTTTGTTGTTAAAATCTTTAATATAATTGCAGAATTAAAACCAGATACATCACTGGAGCTACACATAATGTTAAGCCAATTTGTTTTCAATAATAGTTTTTGAACAATCATGGAGAATTAGTTACACATAATACTCATTTATAACATAAGAAAGAATATTTCAAAGAGACAATCTTTTTGTGGACTTTGTGGGATTCCACCACTTGTATCTCACTGATAAAATTTAGTAGAAAATCAATGGCACTATTTTTTATTTTGGGTAATGAATAAAATACATTCATTATGGTGTTGTTAAGGTTAAACATAAAATAAAACAAAGAGAGAAAAATGGCTCCATTCACTTCTCATTCCTTTATGATAATATGGACTTGCTCTTGGCTGCCGAAAATATTTTATTTTTAAATGGATCTAGGTTGTACATGCAAAACCATAATCTCCTGACACTGCCAGTTTGTGAAGCCAGAAAGGTTGTGGACCACTCGGTTATATGATTGTGAATGCAAACATTTTTTAAAATGATGGGAAATATTCATTGACTGATAAAGCTATATTAATTGTTTATCAAACAATCTACTTAACAGGAGTCTTGATTTTTTAAGCAATGCGATCTATTGGCGTTCACACAGGGAGTACTAAATTATATGTACAATTTACTTTTTCTAATAGATATTGATGAATGTAAAACTCCAGGTATTTGCATGAATGGCCACTGCATTAATACAGAAGGATCATTTCGTTGTGATTGTCCACCTGGACTAGCTGTTGGAGTTGATGGTCGAGTTTGTGTTGGTAAGTATTTTTTTCCACTTTCCAAGAAAACATTTTAGGTCTAACCTAAAATCTCAAGTCTAGCCTTGAGATTTACTTGTAGTTTACCATCTAAGTGCAAATTGAGTCCAGCCTTGTTTAACTTTTTTTTAGTTAGTCAAGCTCAGTTCAATATTACCACCTGTTGCAACAAATATTTCTTAGATTAAAACAAAGTAATGTTACAGATAATAGAACATGGATTCATTCATATCTGAAATAGCATGTTTTTCTTCAGGAAATTAATTGATAAACTTTAGTATGCTACTTAAGAAATAACTTGTAACATAGATAGAATACCCACTTAAAAACAATAATTACATTAAAACACAGCTAGATGTTAATATTTGACTGGTATAGAATTTTACAGAAATTCTTGGGTTTCATATGAATCCATAAATTTTAGGTGTAAAAATTGGATTCATTTTTAAAATGAGAATGCTTATTTATATCATTATGGAGTATTAATTTATGTATTGTTTTTCCCATCTTTTTTTAGATACTCATATGCGAAGCACATGCTATGGTGGAATCAAAAAGGGAGTATGTGTACGCCCTTTTCCTGGAGCAGTGACAAAATCTGAATGTTGCTGTGCCAATTTAGACTATGGCTTTGGTGAACCATGCCACCCATGTCCCGCCAAGAATTCAGGTAACGGGATATTATTTTGGACTTCATAACTGGCATGAATACTAAATTGTAAACAAATGATAGATTATAAATCTTGTTCATTTTTTTAAAAAGCAGGTTTTTAAAATTATGAATAACTTACTACCATTTTTGGTAGCATTGCAAACAAAGAGAGGGAAAGCCTTCTTCTTTCTGTTTCCCAAAATACTGTATTATATGTCTAGAACATTTGTTTTCAATTGTGCTTCAAATCCATTTCAGATCAAAATATATCTCTTTGTTTTTCAGTGAGAGTTTTAATACTTACGTGTTTTCTTATGAAACATTATTTGTCTTTAAACCATAGGTAGTAATATAGATCCCTGTTTCCCCTTTAAGGTTTAAATTGCTGAAAACATTACACACTGCTTATATGCAAAAAAAATGCTTTGCATGAAAAATTGAGAATGGATTGAATTCAATTTTACTAAATTAAAAAAATATACAGGATAGCACAAAATAAGAATGTGGAAAGCAAAGTGCACGTGCACAGGACATTCATAATAAATTAATCCAAACATTAAATGCAGTTGAATTGAATTAGATCTAAATGTTGAGCTGGATTCTGTTCCAAAAAGCTTATATGCTCATATTCTGTAACATGCAAATAAATATAAAAATAGAGGATATCGAATATAAAACCAATACTTTGCAACTTGTTTTTATTCCAAAAAAAACATATTTTACCAACTTTGTCAATGGTAATTTGTTAGTTGAGATACTGCTCTATTGCAATGTAGTGTACTTGTTTAGGAATTTTAGAATCTGTGAAGGTGATGTAGTATATAGCATACAATAATACTGTGAGGATAAGCAAGATAGTATTCTGCATTGTAAATTAAGATATAACCTACTAATTGAAAAAGAAGGTTTGTTTCCATCTAAGTAATGTGTATAAATTTGACATTTATCTTACTTAGAAAATTATAGTAACATTAAACCAAATTACGTTGTTTTAGGAAGTCTTTCTGAAGTTATATTATTTATAAGTGAATGAAATTAATTATGTTGAAGTGTGTATGAACAAGAGCAGAATTTTCAAAGAATTTATCTTCATTCAATAAAATATTTTAAAATATTAAAACTTAGTATAGTTGCTCTAATTATATTGTATTTCACTATTTTTATTTTCTCATGAGAAGCTGAGTTCCATGGCCTTTGTAGTGGAGGAGTAGGAATTACTGTGGATGGAAGAGGTAAAATATGCACATACAGAAAATAATGTTAAGTAAATGTAGTCTTTGACTTATAACTGTAATTGAGCTCCAAATTACAGTCATGAATTGTGCTGGCCATTAAGTGGACATGAGTGCATCTGTTTTTTTTTTTTTTTTACTTTTTTGTGGTAATTGTAAAATGAATGCTGTGGTCATTACACAAACCCATTATGTGCAATGACATTTTTTCTGGAAGCTGAAAGTAAATGCTGGTTTCCAGGAAAATATGTTGTAAAATGCTACACTCAGCTGTAAATGTGATCCAGTGGCTTAGTGCCCAAAATGTGATCACATGACCATAGGTGGGAGTGGCTGTCAGAACTTTGAATCCAGATGATAAGTACCCTTTTGGGGATCCATAGTAACTTTGAATGGTCACTAAGTGACTAGTGATAAGTCAAGAACTACCTGTATTGTTATGCTTGCAAACTGTTATAATGATACAGACTTTTCTTTAGAACCACATAGTATTGGGTTCATTCTGTTTTAATACAGAAAATACATTGTATTTTGTTGGATATTTTGATGATGCCATTTTTAAATAACAATGTATATGTCTCTAGATTTCTAACCAAGATATTTTATTTTAATATCAATTAATGTTCATATTGAATATAAACTTGTGCTGACCTTCATGAATAATATATCCTTAATATTTAATAAAAGGTACTGCAGAATATACGCTGACAGATTATATTGTTATTGCAGATATAAATGAATGTGCTTTAGATCCTGATATTTGCTCTAATGGGGTTTGTGAAAACTTACGTGGCAGCTATCGTTGTAACTGCAACAGTGGATATGAATCAGATGTTTCAGGACAAAATTGTGTTGGTATGTTATATGAACAATATTCATTCTGAAACTGTTCTAATACCTTAATATTTTGATACACAGAAAGAATAGTGACCTCTACTATATCCTCACTTATATCAATAAGTTATTGACTATGTATCTTATAACCGTTATGACCAATTTTAAACTGCATATCATATATATTTAACCATATAATATTTACCTTCCAGTATTATAGGAAAATCATTTTCTTGTGTAATTTATTTTAGTTATTCCATTAAACATTGCCATTTTTGTGACAATTACGAAATATGTTGCTACTTTAGCTATTTATTAGATTTTTGTATTATAAATACATTTCCTATACATAAAATATGAGATCTAAAATCATAGTGAACATCTTATCAATCCATTATTAGCATAGATAAAAAATAAAAATACAGCATTAAGAAAATAATTGCTTTTTTTAAACAGAGAACAGGTAAATGTTTAATGACCGAAAAAGGGGCTTACACAGACACTCAATTCCAGAAAATAATTGTTAGTTTTGATTACGTGCCATCAAATTGATATCACCTCTTACGCCCTTATATAGATAGTTTTTCTCCATCACAATCTGTTATTATCTTCATGACAATCTGTCCCTAGCCTGGTCCTTTAAATCTTTTAATTCTAATCCATTGCCACAGTAACTGAGGTCATATTTCTCCCTCATGTTTTTAGAGGGATAGCGTCTGAAATGTAATACGGTAGTTTGAAACTGATCGTTTGTGCCTTGAGTAAGAATTCTCAGTTGATTTTTTGGGATGATCGTTTTCTTGCCTTTTATTCTCAGGAGTCTTCTCCCAACACCCAAACTGAAAAGCTTTAGAACTCTTCCTATCCTGTTTCTTTACAATCCAACTTTCATCTATACAAAGTGTTATAGGAGATACCATTGCTTGCATTATTCTGAATTCTGTAAAGGTAGAGGCAGCACAGCATTTATCAATTTATTTTCCAAGGCCTTCGTGTCTCCTCTACTAAGTTTTAGTCTGCAGAGTATTTCTTGACTATTTGTTACTTCATTGTGGATAGTTGATCCTAAAACACAGAGGCTATCATTCACTTCGGTATCTACCTTGTCACTCGATGGCACATTGTTGTATCAGTATCACATTGTCATCAGTATAACATTGATTATTGATGTTTCTTTGTCCATCATGCCTTATATAATGTTCTGTTATCGAAACATTTTGTTTATGTTTATAGCAATTATATTTGTCTTGTTTTTTTTAGATACATAGCTATGTAGAAGTGTCACTTTACTATAATGGTTGATGATCATGTTATTGGGAAATAATTAATTGACTCCAGATATTCATTTCTGTATAGACTGAAGAACTTATTTACTTATTTATAAATCACATTATCATGTTAAAAAATGGAGCAAATACAGACGAGTAATCCTATGTTTAGATAGGGAAGATAGATAGATAGATAGGAAATAAAAGATTTATTTAGTTTGAAGATCTTTTATTTATAACCTTTATGAAAAGCAGGAGATGCAGCAGGAAATGTGATTTAACAATGGATCAGAGGAAATGGAAAATTTATAATTTTCATAAGTTTATTCCTCTTACTGGTTGCTGGCTAGATCTTTCAATTTTTTCTAAGAATCTTTTATAGAAAAGGGTCTTCAGGCTGTCCTATATACAGTATATTGGGTTGTAATGCTATGTTATAGCAGATTGGAAGAAAAGTTAAACTATGGTAAAGTTCCAGGTTATTTTTAAATATTATTTTTCTATTTATTTATTTTTATTATTTTTAAACTACCCATCTCTGACTTTTTTTAAAAAGCCCACCTGCAATGTTCTTGAAACTTCATTTTATTCATGGGGCTCTCAGGGACTCCTCAAGAGAGGAATTATCTTTGAAATCCTCAACTTCTTCTGCCCTGACCTTTTTTAAGATTGAGCTATGTATATATTACCCAAAATCACCAGCACAGGATATAGAACAGGAAGCTGCATAAGAAATTGTATCAGTGAATTTCTAGTTCTGCAAACAGAATTCACCTTTAATTTGCATTATTATAATAAATCATAATAATTTGCATATTAAACAGTGTCAACTATATTTAATGGAAAGCTTACCCTATTCATGAAAAAATGTTTAGTTTCTGTATTTATATAATATCTACTGCAGTACAAACTAGTTTGGTTAATATGTACTATATAATACGAAAAATTAGCCCTAACTTTGCACATCATTACTAATTAGATTAAAAGGTACACTTTTCTTTTCACAGTTATATTCTAGAGTGAGACAAGTATTACAGAAAAACTTAGTAATGTGAAAATGAGATGTAGGTATTGCTTGCTCATAGAAGAACACATTCTCTAGCACATAAACTAATTTGAATTATTTATTTCTTTTCTAGACATTGATGAATGTTTTGTGAATCGATTATTATGTGACAATGGCCTTTGTCGAAATACACCTGGAAGTTACAGCTGTGTGTGTCCAAAAGGATATGTATTCAGTAGTGAAACTGACACATGTGAAGGTAATAATTTTTAACTAAAAATAGGCATTCTGTTGTTTAATCAATTCTCTCCTTAATTTAAATTGATAATATTAGTAAAGTATTTAATTAAAGACTTCTTCATTTAAAAAAATGTAAAGTGCCAAAACTGTTAATTCTTACAATTTTTCATTATAAGCTAATTTTTTTAATTTTTGAGACATTAAAGTAGACAAATCTTAGAGTCTGATTCACTAAATACTAATAAACTTTTCTGGACAAGCAGGACTTAACTGGAGCTAAATTGATAGCTAGTTTGTAAAGTTACATAAATTTTTTAGTTGTTATGGGCAGTTATTTTGCAGATATTTAACTATTCCTCTATATGCTGTGTATGAAGGTGGCAAATGCCATATTTGCCTAAATATTCTGGAAGTGTGTTAGGCTATTAAATGAGAATTATATTACTGGGTTTGAATTTTGGGCTAAAATCTTTTGAAAATATTATCATGTACTACAAAGTTAGCCTCATCTAGATAACTTTCTAAATTATTATATAACATTAATATCTGCTGAACTGTTACAACATGTAAAATCTGAATAAAAGCAAAATATGAATTATACATATACACAGCAATAATTTTGAAAGGTGCTGCTTAATTCCAGTTGATTAACTGATCTACTATGAGATCTATGGAAAAAGTAAGGCACCCTTGGTTGATAATGATGAGGCAAATTATCCATTGTCCAGTTTCAGAAGAAATGTGTTCTGTGCATGCTGATGAATGTGCAGAAAATCAGCAAAATCTGAAGTGGTGAACTCAGTGAAATGGTGGCATAGCAATTTTGTTACACAGGTAAAAGTTGAGTTGTACTTTGTACAGCCAAGCAGGAACTCATGTGCTCCTATAAGATTATCAATATTTGTAAAGAATATAATTTCAAGTTCTGAAATAACTTCCTGATAGCCAGTGGAATCATAATCTTATATAACATGTTACAACAAACTTAAAATGCCCAGTTGGAATCCACTTTTTTGTTAAAAAGAACAGTTTGGCTGTTTATCAGGAACATACTGTAGCCAATAGAAATTAATTCACTTCCAGGGACACTTTAATTTTATAAATGTCCCAATAAAGCAGCACTTCTCAGAGCTTTCCCAAAAGTTCAGTGGAAACTTTGCTCCTGATTTTTACCTACCTTATGGTTAACATATACTCTTTCTACATATCTACATTTTGGTTCACTCTAAACAACCAATTTCCATCATAGTCAACATAATTTGAAATCTTATTGAAAATCTTGTTAGTATTTTTTAAAAATCACATTTCTGTTGTATAGCCCGGATACATGAATATATATGTGTAAAAATATATTGATACAACAAATAACATTGCAACAAGGGTTATTTTATGTAACACAATTCTGTTCAATTGGAAGTAGATTTTGTTGAACCCTGCGAGACTTGCATTAAATAAACATGTTTAGCATTGTAGTGCGTGTCATGTTTTAAAAGCTGTCCACCAGATGGATAAATTTCTTTTTATAGACCCCCAAATCTGGTTCAGAAGAGTTGGGGAAAACATCCAGGGTAGACTTGGTGCATGTAGAAGACAATAGGGAGGAAGAGCTAAGGGAAATCAATTTGCAGGATATTTGAAGTTATCCTTTGTCGGGAGTTCAAATGGTTGCGTATGTGTTTTAATATTTTAGTACTGTGGAGAATTTATTAAAAAATGAAGGCTGAAATAGTACAACAAAGAGATGCTAACTGTATCTGTTTATCTTGATATTTAGCTTCAAAGAATAGCTGTAGCTATAAACATGTTCCTGCTGTTATACATGAATCCAGAACACAAACAACAATACATAAATCATTGTAATGTAATCACAAGGAACATTTAAAATGTTGGCTTTGACTTTCAAGAAGAAACAAAAAACAAGTTACTTTTATAAAAGGAGCAAATTCAGCTAAACTAAATTTTTAATGTGGAAATTACAGTGGAAAATTGTTTATAATTTTATAATCTTTTTTTCTTTAACATTAGATAAAAAAAATCCCCCAAAACCTGTCCTAAGCAAAGTTAAATCCAGATGACTGCCAACTCCTATAAGTGTATTGAAATATTAAATAATCTGGTCTTAAATCTATGAAAAACAGAAATGAAAGTTGTCATAATTTTTTATTTTAAATAAGGTTATTTTGTTCTTATTTAGACTGTTGTAGCAAATATATAAAATACTCAAGGATGCATTAAAACAAAGAAAACAGAGTGTTATAAAATGTAACACTATAGTCCAAACCATATAAGAATAGGACTTGTCTTTAAAAGGTTTACATACAATTGCCCTTAGTAAATAATAATAATGATAATAGTAGCTCTACTAGGAACAGCTTACATCATGCAATGATACCTCTAAATATCAGACATCACCAACCCAACAACCCTACTACCTCGAATCAAGCAGACAGATATTATGTGAGACAGAGGTCCCTCAAGTAATCAGGCCCTATTCTATGTAGGCCTTTGAAAATAGCAACCAGCATCTAACGGGACCTAGAAGCAAGGTTTCAACTAGTGCAACTTGCAAAACAATGGTGTTACATGGACATACAGAGACATGTCCATATCTGTCCGTGCCACTGCATTCTGGACCAGTTAAAGCTTACAAGTGGTCTTCAAGGGCAGTCTCATTAGAATGCATTGCAGTAATTGAGCTGTAAGATGACCAGGGCATGAGTGTCTGGAAGCCACTCTCCCCCACAATCTAAGGCAGGGGTGTCAAACTCAAGGCCTGTGGGTTGGATTTAGCTATAGGGTGCTTAGATCTGGCCCGTGGGACCACCCTGGAAACAGTGAAGGACTGGCCTACAGTGCCTCTGCCATCAATGATGGAGCTTTGGTGGGCCACACACGGCCCTCCCAGGCTCTGTTTTCAGGCACAATGGCCTCCTTGCAGCCCTTTGCCAGCGAACACTGAGCTCCCAGAGGCTCCAGGAGGCCATCGTGGTCAAAAACGGAGCTCAGGAGCCCATTTTCGCTGGCAGAGCACTTGAGCCACCACAGGCGTCCCCAACACGAGTGACATCAAGCTGGCATGCCCACCCTGGCCACACCCACCTCGGCCCCTGATGCAGCTCTCAATGAAATCGAGTTTGACACCCCTGATCTAGGGCATAACTGGCACAACAGATCAAACCATGTAAAAGTTTGTCTAATCACCCTTGGATGGGAAAATGCTAAACATGGAATGTTCCTAGCTCTTGTTGGTTCTAACACCACCACCCACTTGGGCTTGGTAGGTTTATTATAATTAATAACATTTCTAGAAATATAAAGTTACAAGAACACAGACATTTACAGTTCATAAACAGTGTACATATTTTAAAAGGGCAAATTTTCTCCACACCCCTGGCAATCTCTTAAATTTATGAGAGTTTCTAAACAACTAAACATGTGTAAAGTTAGCAGAAGAGAGTAGGAGAAGGAAAACACTGAAAAAAACCTCTATTCATTTGGCACCCCCCAAAAAGGCGACTTGGCTAAAGTCACAAGGCACACTTTCTAATCATTAGATATGACTGCAGGACATAAATTCAGATTCCCCATTTTCACCTACCCTCTTGAGAAATTTGCCAGCATTTTTATTGATTTACAGTCTTTATAGGAACTCAGATTCATTTAGATCAGGGCTGTCAAACTCCCGGCTCATGGGCCGGATGGTTCACACTCTGGCCATGCCCATGCCCAGTTTAGTGAATGGGGGAAAAGTCCCAATATGTCACGTGATGCTGACATGACAAAGTGAGTTTGACACCTCTGATTTAGATTAACTAAAACAGACTTTTCAACACCTTGTCCAAGTTAATTTCTTTTCCAGATTGAATTGCTAATAGAATTTTGGTGCTGAGTAGATAGGTAGATATGTTAATATCTTGTACATTAAATAATAAATTTGTTGTTTCAATTTTCATTGTCATTTAGGGTTTATCAAAATATTCTGAACTCAAAATGGTTGTTTCAAGAATTTTAAACTCAGAAATCTCCTCCCCATAGTCTAGAATTTCACACAAGCTCAAGATAAAATGGGACAGGATTTGCCCTAATTGATCAGGCAGTTAAAAGCAATAGGAGGTCCTTTCCAGGTTTCTGTCTTTGACCATTAAGCTATTGGGGATTCTTCCTTGACTTGTCTGACAAGGTCTTGTCTTGTTCCTTAGACAACATCTCTTTCTCTCATTCATCAAATACATTCTCACGTACCATTACAGGTTGTTCCCAATTTGAATGTCTGAAGGTTGTCCATTGTGCCATTTAATCATGTGGACTATTATAGACATGTTCAGCCTATAAGTCAGAACAACATACTGGGTACAGGTACAGGTATTCTTGCCAATAAAATCATATAATCATAAAATCATATAATAGTGTGTTAACCTTCCTAGGTATACCAGATATAAAACACACCAGTTAAACTACTGTAGTGTAATGCTAATTAACAGAATCTTACAAGTATGAATGTATAAATCTCCATTGTTTCTTTTGAAGCCTGTGAAGATAGGGAGGGTGTCTTCTGAGCCTCTTTCTCCACCCTTTATGCAGCTGTGGCCTATATCCTCTCTTATCTGATTGTTCTCTAGGCTGTATCTCCTCCCCTTATTTCTCAAGGTCTTATATACCATTTACACAATGTCCATAAAATCACTAAGAACTCCCCTTCTTTACCTCTTACTGCAATTAATATCAGCTGTCAGATGATATGTCTTCACATGGAATTACTTAAAAACAATTGTGGAAAAAATGGAGAAGAATGTGAAAAAGAAAATAAAGATTATTGCAATCACACATACCCTTCACTCTCTTATATAGTATTATTTTCCAAACTGGCTGAGTCAGTGGAGTCATAACACAATTACATTTAGTTCCTATAGTTTTTAAAAATATCTTAAAGCTTTATGAGCCATAAATGAAAAAACAATTTTTGGACATATTGTTGTACAGAACATGCTGCTTCCATTAAAAAGTATTCTTGATCTCTCAAAAGACAGTTATTCTGGAAAACTGCTTCAATTGAAATTCTAAAATATATTTCTAGGTTATTTGAGGTAACCAATTAATTATCACTTACAAAATTATGCAGGCACTGTTATCTGCCAGCCATACATTCTCTGCATTGAAGACATTTAACTCTTTTCTCAGATCAGTGAATACATTTTCCAGACATTCTGGCATAATGTTGTTCATGGCAAGATTCATACATTATAATATTTTCCAGAAAGTAAGTCTAACATGTTTCCTTCTGGATTATAGATATAAACGAATGTGAAAGCAGTCCTTGTGTCAATGGAGCTTGCAGGAACAATCTTGGGTCTTTCATTTGTGAATGTTTATCTGGCAGCAAACTAGATTCTACAGGTTTCATTTGTATTGGTGAGTCTAATGGTTTTTTTTAAAAAAATATTATGAATTCTTTAATTTGTATTTACACAATAGTCTTTAAAAGAGAAAAGAAGAGTATATGGTAATATCCAAGAAATAATATAGCTGAACAATAGCACCATACAATATCTTATCTGGAAACATTCTGATTAAAATTCATTTTTCATCAGGAAAATGCTATCAAGCTTCAGAAAAAAAATTCAGAATATAATGTTACAAAAAGTATTTGTCTTTTATTTAGTGAATCTTAAATATACCCCACAGAAAATATGCTGTAATTCACAGCTGATACATTTATTACATTTAGAAACATCCTGATTAAAATTTTCTGTTGTTTGCTGTTAATAGAAGAATAAATTTTTAATTAGGATTTTTCTAATTAAGGTACACTGATAAGGTCTCCTCATGAACTGTGCATTTGGGTGGCTCACGGTAATTGAAAGCAAAAAATTATAAGAAGAACAAATTAAAGGGAATAAATAATATTCAAAAATGGCATGAAGAGCAGGCTGGATAGAATGAAGCAAGGGGTTGTCCTGTCCATGCCAAAAGTCTGAGTAAAGATCCTGGTTTTCGTGGCTCTTCTAAACTACAGAAGAATGTTAGGCCATCTAAATCTCCACTCTGCTGTTCTTTAGAACAGTGGCCCCCAACCTTTTTTGTGCCACGGCCCGGTACCAGCATCACAAAATGATCCGCGGCCCGGTACCGGCATCAGCACACATGACAAGGCAAGGCGAGCCGAGCGACCGGCCAGCCAGCCGTCCCCCGCTTCTCCCCGCCACCTTCAACTCCTCCTTTGTACCTTTGTCGATGGGCTTCGCTTCGGGACGGCTTCGGGACGGTCGCTCGGCTCGCCTTGCCTTGGGTGCTGAAAGAATCCTCATGCCTTAGTTTCGTTTGAAGCCCCCGCCTTCAATGGAAACTAAGGCGCGAGGATTCCTTCAGGACCCAAACGCCGCTTTCCAACCGGAAAAGCTCACCCGGAAGCACTTTCTCGTCAAACAAGATGGCGGCGCCCAGCAAACTGGCGGCCTGGTAGGAAATGTTCCACGGACCGGTACCGGTCCGCGGCCCGGTGGTTGGGGACCCCTGCTTTAGAAGAATTATAAAGCCCGAGGCCTTTAGTGAGAGAGTAAAACCCCCTTGCTTTGTTCCATTTGATCCAATCTATCCAATCTTGCTTTGTTCCATTTGATCCAATAAAGGTGATATTTTATATCAGTGAGAACAATTGATCTGTGGAACGGCTAGTCTCCAGAAGTTGTAAATGCTCCAGCTTTGGAGGTTTTAAGAAGAGATTGTCCAGAATGGTATAGGTCTTCTGCTTGGATAGGAGGTTGGACTAGAAGACCTCCAAAGTCCTTTCCAATTTTCTGTATTCTGTATTTGATCTCTCATAATTATATTAAGGCGTTAATATGCTACATAATGAACAAGCGTTAATTTAATATTATTGAAAATAAAAAAGTAAAAGTTCAAGACCTTGCCCTGGTGTCAAAGGTATAAATGCATTTTTTATACTCTCCCATCTATATTCGGTGTCCTAATTGAGAGAGATGGGGATGCTTTTGTAATTATGCTGAAAAAGAAAAGAGTATCGTAAAGACAAAATTGCTAGATGTATTAATGCCAAATATTTTTTGTATTTAAATTATCGCCTCATTTACAGCAATGCTATAGTAGCAAAATTTGACAAGCCAGTTTGAAAGGCTCTAGCAGTAAATTTCTACAAGAGCAGTAGTTATTTTGTATTTATTTATCATGAATATGCTTTACCACAGAAGAATTAGGAAAGCCTTATTGTGTTTTAATTTACTGTAGATAGTCTGAAAGGAACATGCTGGTTGAACATACAAGATAATCGCTGTGAAGTGAACCTTAATGGAGCTACTCTGAAATCAGAATGCTGTGCTACTCTGGGAGCTGCTTGGGGTAGTCCTTGCGAGCGTTGTGAATTTGGTATGGTTTCTACTTCATAATGTTTTCTAAATTCTATACATATATATTTGTGTGTGTGTAATTAGACCAGCTTCAGTAGAACATGTATACCACACCAGAGTTTACTTTGTGTTAAAATTATTTATTATTCTTATTGTTTTGTTTTATTACTTTAATGTATACTAGTTTTAATGTTTGTCCAATGTCATTATGGTTGTAAGTGATGACATTATGTGACTGCACCAGATTTTTTTTTACATCTTTTGTAGTAGTTATTAAGTGAATGGTATGGTTCTTAAGCAAATCACTTTTTCCCAATGGACGTATTTTTTTTACTGGTAACCAAAACTAAACGCTAGAAACTATAGAAAAAAAGCTATAAATCTGCAAACATGTTCACATAACCTTTACACACTGCAAATGGCCATAAAGTGATTATGTGACCAAGGTAGGGGTAACCATCAAAATTTAAAACTGGGTCTTAAGTAACCTGGGAGTATCCATGGTAATTTTCACAGTTATTAAGACATTGTTGAGGACTACTTATAGTTTTTATGTGTTGATATTTTTTTTGTTTCAAGTGCAATTTATGCTGCTTTAATCATTCTGACTTTTGGCAGCTTATAGCAAGTCCTTGGACTTAGGACTGTATCCAGGCCAGAATCACAGGATTGTGACTGTTAGGCAGGACACGATATATATTTTTTTTGTAGCGATCATTAATTGAATAAAGCAAATACATTTTACCCAATGGCTGGAAACCAGAAGTAAATACCTGAAATCTGCAAAAATAAATTTAAAAACTGCAATCATGTGATCACAGGACACTGTAAATGGCTATAAAGATGATTCAGATGCCAAGGAACCAAATGACTGTGACAGGACTGTGGGGGAATTGTAATTTTGAAATTAGCCTGTAAGTAGTTTTTGGAGGGGTCTGTCATAACTTTGAATGGTCACTAAGTGACCTGTCATACATTTGAGACATTTTGATATTGCTGTACTACAGATATGTCAAGGACTATCTGTAGTACAGCAATATCAGAATGTCTCAAATGTGTTTTTTTTTTAAACTGAGTTTTTAGCAGCTTCTTAAGAACCAGGAATGAAGCTACAGGTCTTATTTCTGGTATGTGGGTGTTCCTGAAAAGTTTTGTCTTCCAAGTTCTTTCCACTGAATCTGATTGGATATGGTGACTGTCAGCAAACTTTCTTCAAACATACCTTGGGTGGGCAGATTCTATCTGAGTACATGGTCTCACAGGTCTTAAGACACTTGTATGTCGAACCAATTTGTAGCCAAGAAAACATCTCCTTTACAAATGTTTATAGTATATTAAAGAGTCCCAGTTGACTTCCACACAGTCGCAGTTATATATTTAGCATTTTCAGAATAGCTTCAGGCTGACATAGTGTATGATGTGGCTGAGGTGATAAGATCATGAGTGACCATTGCCAGAGCTTGTGTGTGTGTGTGTGTGTGTGTGTGTGTATTTGTATGTATGTATACAGAATTTTGCATTCAAAGGGAAAATGGCATTTGTCAGCAATTCCATAAATCAAAAACATCTTCCTAGGATTGTACAGCAGCTGCAGCTGCATGATCCTGATAAAGGTTACAGCTGCATTAAGGGTTATTGACAGATGCTGCATATACAGGATATTTTTATATATTTATGTTATGTGTTTATAAATGTAATAAATATTTTTTCTCTTTGAATTTGAAGTCCTACCTAACCTGGATGCATGTACGAACACCCATACTTATAAAAGTCTGTCTTTAGTAAAGTTATATAAGATGTACATATTAGGGGAAAATACTGAATGTACTTCCAGTTTTTCTTTTGAAATGGGAGAAATGGGATAATGAGTAAATACATGTAAATCTGACATGGATTTATTAATATATTGTTAGTTCATAAAGCATGAAATATTTTGTTATTAGGATAGTGGGATTTGCAATATTGGTCTTATTTTCTATTACTCCAACAATCATTCTGTAAGTATATTTTTTCCTTAATATAGTTGGTAATAAATGTTTCCCTTTTTAAAACTGATTTATCCCGTGTGTGTGTGTGTGTGTGTGTATTTCTTCAAATGTTTCTTCTTTTCTCTTACAGATACTGCATGCCCTAGAGGATTTGCAAGAGTCAAAGGTGTTTCTTGTGAAGGTAAGCTTGTTACTATTTGAGTTATTTTAACTAACAAAATAAAATGAAAGTATCATATGATCCAAATTGCTGTTGAAGTCAATTTATTCTCCAATGAACGCTATCTTTTATGTTAGAATAATACTATTCTAAATTTTCCTTTGAGTTAATTTCAACTCCTTCAGGTTCCAGTTATTTTCTGGCAACAAAATAGAAATAGTTCTTCTGGGAATATTTTCCAACTTTCCAATCTAGTCTAAAACTATCGTATTTCTTGGTTGTATCCCACTTAATTATGGACCATTTCGAATCCTGCTTAATTTCTGAGTTCAGCCATGGTTGGCTATGTCCTGCTGCTTTGGAAATCATGATGGCTTATTCAAGCACGCCCATAATGTTCTCTTGTTAGCAATATGGAAGTCCATAGTATTGTTTTCCTCCCACTTACTTTTGCAAGTAATTAAGCGATTTTCCTCTTAATTGTTTTCGTGATAGAAAGCTTTCTTTTGGAAGAGGTAGAAGGACTTAAAGCAATGATAATATTACAGCAAATGTATTTATTCAGTTACGTGTTTGTTTATTGAAGAAATTGTATATTATTCTATCCCAAGTCTTTGAGTACTAAAAACATTAAAGCATACAATAACGCAACTAAATTAAATGATTAAACCAACTAGTTCAATAAATATAAATGTGAAAATATTCTCCAAAACTAGTCTAAGGCAACTGCAAACATTCAGTTAAATAGAACCACTTTCTGAAAGTCCAGTGGGATTGATGTCAATTGTCTTTCTGGGTGAGCTGTTCCATAGTGATAGAGGAGCAACAAGGCATGGCTCTGGACCTACTCTCCATATTTCTTATGTCAGATCCTGAAGCATCCCTTAAAGAATTGCAGAGAATGTTCTATTCAGAGGAGATGGTTCCAATAATAACCAGGAATTAAGACTTTATAGTGCTCCCCCACCATTTTGAATTGTCCTCAGAATTCTGCTGTACCCACAGAACTGGGGTTAATCAGCTAAAGCAGCTGTCACCTGTCTGCAAGTGAGGAACTGCCTTCTGTATTGTTTGTGCTTTCTGAATGATTTTTAAAGGCAGAATGTCGTAACATTCTAATATTAAGGCGTAAGGTGAAAAGTCACTGTTGCAAAAATTTATTGGCTATAAAAAGAGTCACAAGTGAGCCACCAACCAAAGCTGGTCAAAGGACCCCTATCCATGGCCTTTACCTTTCGATCAACTGTCCAGTCCTGTTTTTTCCGGTAGGGGACCAAATCTTCTAAATGACTGACATTTTAAAAACTACTTTAGCTACCTATTCTTTGGATTAAGAAACATTTCCTAAGTGTATGTAACCGAATTCTTTGCAGTTCAAAAGTTATATGCAAAATCCATTTTGAATCCTGATTTTAGCTGCAGTCTATAGAAAACAAAAAACTATGAATCCAACAAAGTATCTGTGGTCTTTATCACAGATACTTTCACAATCACATTTCATTTTTTTTAAATAAATCAGTTCAATTATGACTGTCCAATTTTACAGCTAAATATTCAAAATAAAGTTTCACTGCTTAGTAGAGCTTCCTCAAAAATAGGTGTATATAGCATTGTATCCTTATTTGTACTTGCATTTTCTTACTTCAAGAAATTTAGCTGGATAAAGAAAATGTAACTTATTTTTAAGAAATATACTGTCTTATAGTTCTGATACACAGTATGTCTATAAGAGTAGATTGTAAACTCCCTTTTATGTATATATCAGATGTAAATGAGTGTGAAGTTTTTCCGGGGGTGTGTCCCAATGGGCGTTGCATCAACAGCAGAGGCTCTTTTCATTGTGAATGTCCCAGTGGTCTGACATTGGATGGAACTGGCAGGGTGTGTTTGGGTGAGTATTTCCCTTAAGTTTCTATCGATCTACATAAGGCACTACAAGTTACCCTGAAAGAGTTCCTCAACTTTTATCATTCATGCACATTAATCTTTTCTAGTCTGTTATCATCCAAATGCTGTAGATCTGCAAGTCTCAGAATCTTAGACATCTTCGTTAACCAAAGAAAAATGAGATAGGACAGGTGTTTTTTGCATTTATTGTGCACGTGTTCAGGTTTAACTTCAGATTCAGAGAGGCTAAAGACAAGAATTACATACTAGAATTATATGCACACATACACACACATGTACCTATATACATACATACGTGCAAATATGTTGATCATAAATGTCTACAGTGATTCTCAGTCATCCAGGTCATGATTGTCCCAAAGGTGCTTCTTTCAAGAGGCAACTGGACTTTCTGGTTTTTCTTTGAAGACATTTTGCTTCTCATTCAAGAAGCTTCCTCAGCTCTCTGGCTGGATGGTGCGGGGATGGAAGGATTTTACAAGCCACTCTTGAAGACAGCAAGGTCCACATTTTGGACAGAGAGGACCACTAGTTTGAAAGACGGGTTAAAGAGGCCTTCTATGTCAACATTGAACAGCCCTCTCCCAACAGAGGGGGAGGGATACAACATCATCTATCTCCAGTCTACAACACAGTCCTTTCAACAGTTCCAAGAAGCCCCGCACCCATTTGCAGCATTCAGGTGACCCTGATGACACAAATAAATCTCTGGGTGACTTTAATGACCCGTTAAAAGAATGCAAATGATCAGCTGTCTGCAAGAAGTATAAATCCTTCCATTCCCCACCATCCAATTCAGCTGAAGAAGCTTCTTGGATGAGAAGTGAAACATCTTCAAAGAAAACCCAGAAAATCCAGTTGCCTCTTGAAAAAAGCATCTTTGGGATATATTGATCATATTTATTGGAAAGGAAGTCTGCTTAATACATGGAAGTTGTTTCCACCTAAGACCTCTTCTAGATATCACAGAATGTCCGAAATGCTCAGGAAAATATATGTAATGCAATAGCCTCTGTTTTGTTTTTATTGGTTCATTTTCAGATGTACTTTCCACCCACTTCTTGGAATTTCACATTATATTTGTACTTGTTAGATGCCAGCATTTTGCAATGCATCTGTAAACATATTGAATTAATTTTACAAAACAACTAAATTGCAGTAAAATTAAAAACAGGGCTATGCTTCTCTCACCATAAAATAACATATATAACTTTCCTAACTCTATTATAGTGTAAACATGTATTCAGAATAGGTAATACATTTAAAATTACTTCTAAAAAGATAAACCTCTGCAGGAATTTTGTCAGGCTGAACAAAGCAGCATAGTGGTGTTACAATTGCATGTTCTAGTCCTTTTGTACATGCATGCAAGATTATAGTGCAGTGATAGCTAATCTTTTCGGTACCAAGTGGCCAAAGCAAGCGCATACCCACGCATCCCAAATATGCAACACACGCGCATGCACCATGCCACTGCATATGCATGCGACCCATGCACGTGCCCCTCCACACATGCACCCACGCGCATGAGCTCCCCGTGCATGCACCTCCCCACGCATGCACAGCAGAGACCTGAAGATCAGTTAGCCGGCAGGAGGCGCATACACACGCACACATGTGCAGCATAGCTGAGCTAAGATGATGGCTCTGCTTGCCACCTCTGGCATGCATGCCATAGGTTTGCCACCACGGTTTAGTGCATATACAAAAATTTACAACATAAATCTACCATGCTGTTTTCATCCTTCTGCCCTCTTGTATATATGCTACTTTGTAGTAACTTCTGTGATATTGAGAAGACTTTTTTCTTTAAGAAGTAATAATCGTCTGTAATTTGTTATTATTTTTAATCCATAAGAAAGACTTTCAAGCATAGTTGCGGAAGAAATAGCATTCTTTTGAATTCATATTTAATTTGAATTAATTATAATTAATATTTATTATATTTGACAAGTACAAATGGGAATCTTTCGTATTTATCTTTCCTATTAATTTTAATGACACATGTAGATATCCGAATGGAGCAGTGTTACCTGAGATGGGATGAAGATGACTGTGTTCAACCTGTACCTGGAAAATTCCGTATGGACACGTGTTGCTGTGCTATAGGTGCTGCTTGGGGTTCCGACTGCGAGGAATGCCCCAAGCCAGGCACAAAAGAATATGAAGACTTATGCCCCAGAGGTCCAGGCTTCTCCAACCGTGGGGATATTTTAACTGGAAGGCCATTTTACAAAGGTAAAGAATAATATTTCAGACAAACCTTATGTGCTTCATTAATATATATTTATATGTATGTACGTATGTATGTATGTATGTATGTATGTATGTATGTATGTATGTATGTA